ATGATATATATGAAAACACTAAAATAAACACTTGTACGGAATGCAATATGTAGGTAACATGACACCTAAATACGTATAGAAAATATGCAAGACTAATTAATAAGCAAAGTTATACTTCCGAAAGGCGTCAGTTTATACGTAAAAGCTTGATACATTTTGAAAATTAAATTTTCACGATCTCTTATTATCGAAAATAAGTTACTTTTTCTTACGAAGAGATAATGCACGAAGAGACTTCTGCAGTTGAAATTAGCGGAAATCTCAAGATAGGTTTCCATAAATCAAAAGCTTTAGACTAAAGGAAATCAAAAGCTTTAGACTTTTAATCATAGCTTTGCGAGAAACTCTCCATTGTGTGATAAATTTATTCTGAATATTCTTTTAAAAACAAAGATAAAGCCACATCACAGTTTTAGCAGTAATACCTAGATTCTTTCCTCAGTCTCTTGCCATTTTAATTTAATTTAGTGGAACAAACTACACACTTTTTACAAGGTCTTGCCTTTTTCTCTGTTGACGGTATTTCAGATGGGAAATGCCTGTCAAGCGTAGTATTGGTAAAAATTTTTAGACTTCCGCATAGTGACAGTGCTGTCTCTATTTTGTTTAATTAAATTTTCTATTAAATTTAATCTAAAATCCAGCTGCGAAAGATTTTTTCCTGATTTTTGAAATAGCACAAATGCGTTCCAAACTGCTTGATTTAAGAGATGTCTGAATAACTTTTTATAGAATTTTCTTTGTCTGTTTCGGTACACAGGATAATATGAGAGGCACTGATCTGCTTTATCTACGCCCCCCATTTTTAAGTTGTATTCTAAAGCAACAATTGGTTTTAGCAGAGTTCCAGATCTTGTGATACTTTCCGCCATTTCCGCGTTGTGCTTTGTACTTAAGAAACAAATCGGTTTTTTGTCTTTCCACTTAATCGCGCACATTTTTCCTTTTTGGAAAGCAACCACTTCCCCTTTCTTTAAGTTTTTCGATTGAATTTCGTATGGCAGATCTCTTCGATTTTGTCGCATTGTTCCAAAAACATCTGTCTTTTGGGCTATCAAAAGTTCTGCAAGTTGTGGGGATGAATAAAAATTGTCAACAGCCAAACAATAGCCTTGATTCAGCAAATTGTGAACAAGAGATAAAACACTTTTTATTGATAACCCGTAGCTTTCATATTCTTGGCGAAATCGAGTACTTTTGCCGGTATAAATTATGCTGTTCCATATATAACCACTGTCACTTTCGCATAAGTTAAAAATTTTCATTCCGAACCTGGCTCGTTTCGACGGTATAAATTGTTTCCAACCAAGGTTTCCTTTAAATGCGACTAAAGATTCATCGACATTTATATCCCTTTGTGGAGTATATGCTCTTTGAAAGTTTCTCAGAAGTTTAGTCGAAAAGTATACTTTTTCAACTTGGGATTTGGACATTGGTTATTGTCATTATCTCCTACAAAATGAAGAAATTTCATTGAAGCGATTCGCAGACATAATTTCTGCAATACCCGGTGTGCTTAATATAGGTCGTTTAGACCAGTAAAATTGTTCATTCGGCTTCTTTATAACTCCATGTAAGATTAATAAAGATAAAAATACTTTCATTTCATTTCTGTTAGTTTCAATCCAAGTTCGAGCTCTTGAACTTGGGGTCAACGCATTATTTCTGAGGTATTTCTCCGCAAAAGAGTTCGTTTCGAAAACGATCAAATCTACTATATCATCATCTATTAAAATACTGAAATAGTCTACTTCATTTGCGTCACTAGGCATATTGATTTTTATTCCAGGAGAACCACTGAAAGGAAAGGGAGGAGGCGGTGGCTGAGGATTTGATATGTCAATGTAACACCAATCCCTTGCGGTAGAAATATCATCTTCCGACTCACTTCCTGATGTCGGCTGGCCATCTGATGAGCTAGAGGAAGAAAATTCATCATCATCAAAACTTGCCACTTTCAGTAAAATTGCGTAACGTCCATGTTATCATGAAGATTCAGCATAAATTCCCATTGAAGGCAAACAAACTGAAAAAACCTTTTAAAAATGCATTGGTGATTGCAGACTTTGAATATTTTCTAAGAAAGCACCGAATGCTCTCAAAGTGCTCAATGCCACCACTTGGTAAGCCTATGAGCTACTCTTCTATGGACTGTCTTTAAGTACAGCAATCAAAGGGAAAAATAATTTCTTTCCCAAGAAATAGCTTTAAAAGCCTCATCAGGTGTCTATTCATAGCGGAATTCTTTACTTACATATATTAAAATAAAGATCGACATGATTAGGTGGTGCTTTCGTCAGAGCTCTCAGGAAAAGTAAGGATACATTTTATCCGTTTGTAGGCTAAATTCATTAACATTTCAACAAAGTCACTTCCCTTTACTTCTAAAACTTACTCAGAATTCTAAAGGTGAACATATTTGCCACGGTCCACCTTTTCTTTCGCGTTTATTTTCAAAACGTAGTAGACTTATCGGAAAAAATCATCTTTCCTCCTTCAAACTGGAAAGCTTTTCTTTGCTTGCGGAGTAAACAGCACTAAACAATAGACTCTTGTTGTCTCATTCAATCGGCGACAAGATTGAGAGTATCAGTGAGACATTTCCTACATTAAATGGCAAAAGAGATTGAAACCTGAGCATGGTTTAAGATCTTTGAAATTACTTAAAATTGATCAGTTACTTTTCAAAGTTGAAAAATGTCAACATATTTAAATATCCTTGATTGTTAGTTCTTATATGCCTGTCCTAAAAAGTCAACTTATTGAAAGAGTAATTGTGGGATTCAGAAATGAATGAATTTCAATATTTAATCAGAATAAATAAATTATAAGTAATTTTTAATCTTATTTTTCCTTAAAAAATGGCTTTTGTGACATTTATTTAATTTAGTGCGTCAGAACACAGATAAATATATAGCTAAGAGAAAGGGCTTTCCAAGAGAAAAGGGATCATATTTACTTACTTTTGGGAAAAATCATGGGAATATCTAATCAGTCTTACAGTTCACCAGGATTCAGATCTAGTCGGGGATTTCTGTCTGGGTTCAGCTGTTAACCACTGATTTCAGGGAAAAGAGACCTTTGAGAATTACTTTCGAAAGGAAATTGGCTTGTATTTATGCTACATTCAGAAAAATCATGCAACCAATTAATTCTACAGATTCTGAAAAAAATTGAACTACCAGTGTTCAAGTGACTACTCGCACTCTAACGAGGAAAGTGATTTCATTGCATGTTACTCATGAAAATCCCCAATAAATATTTTTTATGCTCCTAATACCAGGAATTAAATCTTGACGAACTACCAGTGTTCAGTGGTTATATTCACTCAATCATGGTGTCTTAAATTACTGTTTGTATATCATAAATAAGGATTAAAATAGTGAACAATAAAAATTAGCCCGGTAAATTTTTTGTTTAATGAGCTTTTTACTACAAATTTTGGCAGTTTAGTTGAATAGCAGAATGTTACATTAGATCATGGTATTTATTTAGAATTCACCGCTGCTACTTCTTCATACAAAATAAAAACCGAAAAAATATTCCTAGAAGAAGGTAGTTTTGTAAAAAATACACCCAGAAAAAGTATCTCTAAAAAAACTGTACCAGTTCTAGTATAACAGGCAATATTTACACCTTATACTGAAATACTTTGGATTATGAGAACTATTTAATACTTTTTTATTCATGGCAAAATATACACTAATATTTACTAGTACGTTGGCTATTAGCTATATATAAATCTACTTAAAAAAATGTACAAAAAGAGTCTGTTTTCTATTTCGATTGCGTATACAGCTCCTTAGAGAATAAATGGTATTTATACGATATATTTCAAAATGTTTTCGAATTGGAAGTACGATTCTGTATGATGCGTGGAGAAAATTAATCAGCGTAAGTAAGGTTTTGTATATATGCCCACGATTTTCTTCATTAAAAGTATAGCTTAAATTTATATTCGAAAATCCAGTTAATGAAATTATACTCGTATATCACTTCATGGTTTATTCTATTAATTCTCAATATCTCTTAAAAATAATACACATTCAATGCATCTTTTATAACACAAATTATTAAGTGTAGAGGTAACATTATTATTCAAGTCAACAAGCCTTGTTAATGCATAAATAACTTTCGTTACAAATATGACTTGAAATTATATAATTTCTCTCAAAGCTTTAAAAAAAAATAAACAACAATGTATTTCTTTTGGCATTTTCCCCAAGAATAATAAAATACAATATTACTATAAGAAACGTGATAAAATTATCTCTTATGAAAATACGATAATGCAATGAATGTTTTTGCAAGTGTACTTATTATTTTAACGCTTAAAATCAATTTACATACTAACTCAGTGATTTTCACATAAAACTCGTATTAGTCTGCTAGCATCTAGTGCTGCAGCTTTTACTTTTCAAATGAAACATGAAAGCAAGAGAGTCAGAATCCCTTCTACGCTCACTGTTTGAGATTTTGTGAGGATGTTAAAAAATATTGCAATTTTCTCATGATCGAAGCCTCATCAGTAGACGAGAAGTTAAAGACTGTTGAATTGTTGACTGGTAGTTCGATTTACTTTCGGTTGAAACCCATGGCCATGGCAGCGTGTTTGTTTTTCCCGTATGTAAGGTTAATTTGTTCTTGTTTCCTACAGAAAGTCCTCTTTTTGAAAGAAGACGACGTAATTGTCAGTATAAAAAATACATGAAAATACTTTAATCTCCTTAATTTATAATTCTGAATTTTGTTTAAATTCTTTAAATCTCACATCAAATTAAGTTGATAAAATTTAGTGTAACTAATAAAATAATTATTTATGTATAATTATTCATCAAATCATACGCTATGCATTTTGTAAAAATATTTATTAAAATAAGAAAAAAGAAAAGGAATATTGATGTTTGAATAATTAAATAATGTTACATAGTTTCTTTGCAGCTTTTAGTTTGTAGAGTCATTAGGTTATTTTTGAAGTAAGAAACATGAAAAATGTGCAATGCCCTAGCCAGGATTTGAACCTGGGCCTTTCGAATATGTGTTGAGTGTGCTAACCATTACACCACAAAGGCCTAAAGAAATACATTATAAGTTATAAAAGTAATGTTTTAATCCTATTTCACATCAAGTTTAGTATTTCAATGACAGAAAAGCAAGAATTTGTAAACTCAGTCAATTAATATTAAATTTCTATGATGCATGCATGAATTTGTAAGTTCTGCAAGAATACCATTAAAAATGCAATCCTTAAAAAGAAGAGTGTATTATTTTGGAGCTGATATAGTTTGCATTGAGATTCAAACAACTGTCCTTAAATAATCCAAATCTTTGTTTTCGTTAAATAAGTCATATTTAATACCTATTCTTTTTCAAATCAGCAATCCACGTATAATTTTAAAAATGCTTTCCTTTACACTGAATTTAAGACATTTAGTCACAAAGTTTTATGTTAGTGAATATTTAAATTTGTTTAAAAATTCTTGTCTATAAATTTTTCAACTATAAACAAACAAATTAAAAATAATTTTCCAGAAAACACCATTCCTTCGGAAAAAGATTCGAATTTGAGCATAAGAGAAGCCTAAAGTTTGAAGTTTGAAATATACCTTATTTTTCACTATCAGTTTCTTTAAAAAGCAGTTTTAAAAGTCACATCATATTCCGTTGATTAAACTTGCAGAAATCATAAAACACCATTTTTTTATAATAATTATTCGAATATTATGCTAAACATCTTAAAAATATAAAAAGGTAAAAAGGAATATATCTATAAGGAATTATAGAACTGTTAAAAGATAATTATTATTTGCATGCAAATAAAAAATATAGAAAAAGATTAATGTTTTAAAGATTTTTAATTTATGCTAAAAAAATCGGAAAATAATGTAACATTCAAGAGAACTAATAAATAATGCTATTTAAATGTTGTAACAGTGTCACAGAAGGAATGAAACATGTACCAGTTAATACAGATTTTATTAATAAATTATAATGCAATTTAATCGATCTGCAATGAAATCAGTGACTTCGAAATCTGAGTAAAATGCATAATAATTAAAAATAATAAAATGCATAATAATTAAAAATGAAATCCAGTAAATTTTAAAAGCAATTTATTTGAAAATAAGATGTTTGTATGAAAGAAAATCCTTAAAGCCTTTTAGTTCTGATACCTTTTACTCATGAAATGTTGATGAGCATCAGGCTAGACAATTGCCCTAGAGCACTCCCACAGTCCGTCAGAGAGAAGCCAGTCATTTGCAAAGTTCTTGACAGCTTGCATCTACTAATGTTTACAGTGCAATCAATCTGTTTTAGGCGGAACAATTGATCTAAAACTCTGGGAGGGAAGGCAAATAATAAAAGAGGAAGTCGGCATTTTTCGAACGACTAGTCTTATTTCCCAAACAATTTACGGGAAATTGGGTAACAAATTACCGGCAGTTTTAAAGGCATTTGCACAAAAACACTCTCGACAGGGAAAGGGTTAATAGTAAAGTCACAATTCTTCTATCAGTGTCCTTATTTTAGCAAATCCTTCACTGCATATGCAAAGTGATGCCTTTGTAATTTTCTAAGGAAAACTGGCTCATGTTACATGTGAGAAAAATAATAAAAACACTCGTAGAGAAAACATGTTTACCAAGATTCAAATACCAGTTGAAGTATTAGGGTTGACTAGCAGGTCAACCTTGGGCTACCTGAAAAATGAGAATACCACTCTGGCACAACAATACTCACAGCAGAATGTAAGTTGTTCAAATCTAAAAAAATTAATGGCCTTATGGAATCAAGAGTAAGCATGATACATAATTCATTAATCTGGAGAGATGGGCATCCCAGTTGTTCAACAAGAAATCACTACACCAGAGGTTATGGAATAATTTCAAACAGCTATTTATAATCAAATGAATAAGTACTGTCAAATACTGAAAATCTGGTGCCCTGAAATCTGCCAACTCCTGAAATTTGCACTGCCTCTCAAAATATAAACATTCAGTTTATAGGTTCCAGAAACCGCAACATTGAGTACGAAATATCGAAGAAAAAATACTTACTGAATAATGACGTCATAATTACCAAAAAATAATGAGTCATAAAGGAAATACCCAATTATTGACATCATGATAAAAGTTTTTTCTCCTCTAATCTCTGCATCGAGATAAGAAAGCAGACGATTCACTCAACTCTTCTTTCAAGTTTACGATTCACATTGTTGTATTTTCTAAGCTTTGTTATTTCACGAGATTGTTTAGTGCTGTCTTTTTTTTTTTATCCGGATATGTTGTGGATAAATTAAGAATATTTTTAATTTCAGCCCTTTTTAATACAATTACAGATAAGAAACGCACTCATGATTTTACTGCTTGCAACATTGAAAAACGTAAACACGTTGCATTGATGGTAATGCAAAAAAGTGCAAATTCTGCAAAAGATGGAGATAGGTGCATTTTACAGCAGAATCGTATGGAATTGTGATACGATTGTGTATGATATACAGAAAAATAAAGAAAAGCTGTTGAAATTTTACAGCAACAGTGATTCTAACACCGGAATCCGAAACCGGAAATCTTTGCATGAGGTGAAATCGGCAAACCTCGATGCTGTGTATATAATACAATGAATAATAAATCAATTTATATATGTAATAATAATTAATGCATATAATAAGTTATTGAAATAATGTACATAATAATTTAATTAAATATATCTAATATGCCTTATTTATTTTGCACTTTTAGTCTGAATATTATAATTTATCTTTTCTGTCTTGAAATCCACAAAATCCTAAAATACGCACAACCTCTAGTCCCAAGCTTTGCGGATTTCTGGACTTCTACTGGATATACTAGATATCACCACGGCTGTGGAGTTGGTAGTGAAAATGACAGACTCTGACTCCTAGAATTCTAAAGACTCCAACTCTCTCATATATATATATGTAAACATATACACATGCATTACAGCTTATTTTTTTAACTATAAAAGAAGTAATAGCATATTATGAATGCAAATGTAATAGCATATTTGCATGAAATGGAAAAAACTGACATGACTAATTTCTAAGAAATAATATAGCTCCGGCAAGATCTTTTTTGATAGAGGACAGTAGATCCAATTTGATAAACTTCAGAGCTGAGAATAGTTTTTCCACACTAACTTGAGTAGAAGGAAGAGCTGTTACTGTTAGGGCTACTTCTTTTAACTTTTCAGATTAGATTTGTATAAGTTCTAAAAGAGATGTCTTACAAGAGCGATCATATTTCTGTATTTCTTCAAGGGCTGTAGAGAAATCTTGTTCGTATTTTTTCATTTTTATATCTAAAATAAAAGGCTCTTAGTTTTTTATTTTCATTCACTTTGCCTTAGCCTTTTCAATATTGTTCAAATATTTCTCAAAATCTAATTCATCATTGGAAGAGGATGATAGAGACTAAGTTGCAATGTCTGCAGTATGACTCTCCTGATATGAATACTCCAACTAGTCTGAGAATAATTTCATTCTTAGTGAAAGTTCATAGATGACTTTCTTTGCTTTTTTAATTTGTTCATCATCCAACAAAATTCGGTGTTTTGGATCTACATATATTGAAACCAGCAAGATCTCACTGTTTAGCAAACTAATTTCTCTGACTTATTTGGTTCATTTAATTATGGCAAAGCACACTAGGGCTATCTGCCTAAGGGGAGGGATGCTTTCGTGGAGGACTTTCTAAGGGAAACTGGCTCGTATACAGGTTACACATGGGGAAAACCACAAAAACACCCATGCAACCAACCGTCGTGGGATTCGAACCTCAGACTGAACTACCAGTGTTCAGCGACTTTACTGCTCGGGCGCTGGTGGGCTTTCTTCAATGAAGAACTGATTTCTTCTGGAATAAGGCCTCCCATTTTAGAAAGAATAAACATCACATTCTTCCATTCTCACAGAAATAAGCCTCCTGTTAATTCTTCAAAGTGCAGATTTTTTTTTTTTTTTTTTTTTTTTTTTTTGTGTGTGTGTGTGTGTGTGTGTGTGGTTATATATGGTGCAGAAAGAAGAAAAAAGTTCTTCATTCTAACAACCTCTTTATCATCACATAAGTGCTTCTCCATCGCATTGCTTAATTGCTCCTTTTCCTGCTTGTCTCCTAAGAATGACACAAATTTTGGGAATTCTTGCTGCTATTGCTGCTTGCCTAAATTTACCAATGAGATTTGTATCATGACCTTCAACCCATCTCTATCAGCAAGTTGCAAGGTAAGGGCTGCACAATGTATTTGCTTGATTTGGCAGAGTTTTGATGCCTCTTCAGCAATATCATCCATTCTCCTCATATTTATTTATTAATATGGCAATAAAATAGGAAATAACTAAATATTTATTTATCTATATAGTCCATAAATAAAAATAATAACTCTGTCATTAATTTTTTCAAATTTACTTAATTTCATTTCAAAATCAAACTATCCAACAAAAACTGGAATTGGAGTGTTAAGACATGTTTTAAGCGACCTCCAGCTCCGACTCCTTTTACCCTAAAATCTACCTAACTCTGATTCTGACTCTACAGCCCTGGTTATTACCCATGCTATAGTTTTACATTTACTACTGCCATATAAGTTTGGAAATTACTGAAATTACTAATCCCCAAAATTTTTGGAAATTACTAATGTCCAAAAATTAGTTGTTATGAATAGCCGAAACTTGCCATTCCAGACTATAAATAATTTATAATGACCTTCTTGTGATGCATAGTGACAGAAAAGGATTGATTACACAAGATTCTGCGGAATGAAGCCCATTTACCTGTGTGTAGAATTGCTATTAAAAATTTATATGTCATGTAAGAACTTCTTCATTAATTACCAAAATGATCCCCACAGATAAGAATTTTAATCCCATGACAGCGATATGCTGAAAGTATTGTTGTTCTATCCCTATGCACAGATAAGACATCTGTGAATGTTTGTGGTAAACATTGTCCTATACTGAAAATGCTGAATACAATGGTGTATTAATAGCTCCCTCAAGACAGGATAATTAGTTACTTGTTCCTTGAGGACATATTTGTTACTTATACATATTTATTAGAGTTCAACAATCCAATAATAGCAGAGAATTTATTAATAATGAGGCGAGAAGTATAAAAGAGAAGCATTTGCTTGCTCAGGCAAGCCTTGCCACTCACTCAAGAAGTGTCAAAACACTGAACAAATCATAACACTGAAAATATGCTATGTTTGTGGATGCAAAATGAGAAAAACTGACTGAGATAGTGACAGACTATGTCTTGTGCAACTTATGAAGAACGAAGCTTTTCAGTTTGGGATTAAGAGACCTCTCACTGACTGAAAATATAAAGGAGTCTTAAAATGTCTTTTTCCCACCCCACCCCCAAGATGTTTTGCAAGATATACAGATTGCGAATCAATTACAAAAAATGATGGAAAATGTTAAAATGATGCATGAAGAAACTTATCACTCTATCAATGAGAACTGCAGACAAAATAATGATGAGTTCACAGTGGAAGAAATGAAAATTGTGATGAATACATGTTCTCTGAAGTATCTGATTCTAATTTCTGCTTCATCTGTTTGAAAAAACCACACATATGACAAGAAAAAGTCAAAATGCAGTCCCCCCAATCTTCTGCATCTTTGGAACCCCAAGGCATTTTAAACAATGGTTGATTTTGATACTTTTCAGGTTACTTCTATATATTTCAAATTTCTATTAACTAATGGATCAATTATAATTATTTTTGTTATTTGTTTTAATTGCTTAATGCAATTTTGTTTAACGTATGTTACTTGATAGATTAATTATTTTAACTAACTGCAAAACTTGTAATAATCTCCATGCAACTCTTTTCTGCAATATATTTTAAATAAATCTGGAATTTAAAAATATATTAAAGAATTAAAATTTTAAAAAATACATAATTGCTCATCTAATACACTGAACAAACTGTGTGTGCTACTGAAGACACACCTAAGGCAAAATTATAAATAACAGCTCAATAAATATCTTCCTCATCCCCCCAAAAATGATATATGATATCTCTGGGAAAATATGGGTCACAAAAAAATTAAACAGTCCCATTCGGGAGTGTATGCCTTATGTCCTTTTGCAGATATTCCTATCATTTGGATTGAAAATGGGACATATTAAGATATTGTTAAGCATCTCCAATAACTTTTCTAAGCAAACCTTTTTTGGTTCTCTGATTACTTACCAACATAGTGTTTGAGAATACACTAATGAGAGCACTTGATTAGGTAGATCAAAAACTTGACGTCCAACCAATTCAGTAACTTTATTTTTGCAACTCCGAACAATAAAACTAGAAATATACAACATAATTTTGTAAAAATTTTGAAAGCATCTTTAACATTAATTTGCAAATTTATTTCATACTCTGGGAAAACAGTTTTGCATTTAAGTTCAAATTAAGTCAATCTGAAATAATTTGGTAAATTAATATATTATCAAGAGCAAAATTTCTTTCAAGCATAGATTTGTTATGAATCGCTAATAACAATAATGATATAATTAAATGTAATATTCAGTTTATCTAACTGACACTGATTTTTAAATTTAAGTGTGTTCTAATGATGCTATAATATTCAATAAATATTGAACGCAATGAGAAATTTAATAAAATATATTTCATTACAATAATTCATGAAATTATACATGCATCTACCAGTCATTATTAACTAATTAGGAACTGAAAAATTTGATAAAATAATACTTATAGCAATTTCATATTCAACTGGAAATTTCAGCAGAATTAAAACAAAAAGCATGTAATATTTAAATTTTGTCAGTTTTGTTTTCAAATTAGCACATTCAAAAACTAAAGAAATTATAAACACAAATTACAAAAAAGGATATTTTTAACAAATTTTTTAGACAAACAAGATAAATTGCTATTAGAGGAGTTACAGCAAATGAATTAGTGTAATATTCAGATTTCAAAAATTTACAGGGCTAGTTTTGAAGGTTGAAATACAGAACCTCCTTGTTCAGCTGCAGAAGTGAAAATGAGGAAAAAGAAGCCACTGATAAAATAAGAAGATAATGCAATAAGAGGAGAAAGAAGTTAAGCTACTGGTGCCATCTACTGATGAAAGCAACTGTGAAATAATTTCCATAAAAGCTAAGAGTAAAAACAGATTGGAATTAGGATCATAACAAGTGAGAATTTATATAACCTGGTGAAGTATGGCAAACAAAATATGTGCAATACTTGCCAAAGAATTAACTGGCAAAAGTAGTTAACATGTTGAAAACGACGTAAAATATTGGTGACATACTAAAACTAATTTAAACATAAGTAGGAGCTTCTGCAGACAGCCCATCTGTTTCATCAACTGGAGCTGGATTGAAGGTAAATTCTTTTTCTTGCTTTATGTATGGGTTGTTGCACTCAGAATTGACATACATATGTATAGAACGGTAAAGGGAAGGTCTCTCCTGCAACACAGTTTGGGGCAATTTCAAGAGCTTCTGTAACTATGAAGTTGCTTTTATACTGAGGTTTAGCAATGATTTTGACCTTGTCTTATTTAATTATTAAGTGTTGATGCTTGAAGAATTATTTAACCAAAGATTTTGCATTGTAGTTTTTGTTGATAAACTATCTGGCAGAGTTTACAGATTCTTTTTTATGCTGAACAATTCTTACTAATAGTTTTTTAAATATTAAGCCAATGTATTTAGTTTCTGTGTTTGTATCTTCATTGGAGATCAAGACAGTATATATACCTGGAGTATCTGTTGTGACAATGTCTGATTTTTCTGATTTTTACAGTTTTAATGATGGTTCTAGGTTTGTGATAATGACAAGTTATAACCTTTTTTTTTTTTTTTTTTTTTTTTTTTTTTTTTAAATTTTAAATGGAACTAATATGTGGGGGTGATCTAGCAATAAGGGTGTGTTCCATGCTTCAGTAAGAACTTTAGTTTTTGAGAAATAACTGCAGCAGCTTGTACATTAATTTTCTTGTTTCTAAGTTTTTCATCAAAATACACACAACAGAAATAGAAGTTAAACTCTTAAAATATTTTTTCCAGGATATAGTACTATATTTAATACTAACCTCCTCCTCCACATACTTTATCATACATAAAAACATACAGTAAAAAATTAATATTCAATGTTATCAGAAATTACATTTCGGAACATATTACTTGAAGCTGTAGGGATATTATTCTATTACAGGTAAGCACATTTGATATATGACTAAAAAAGTTCCATCATCAAAAATTTAAATAATGTAAATTATTTCTAGACGTGGCTTATTTGTAATTCTGATTAATATGAGCTGTGATAACACTTTGATGACAACACTATGAGAAAATTTTCCATTAAGCAAAGACACGTTTAGCAATAACATCAGAATTAATGTACAACCTTCAGAATTAAAAGAAACAATACTTAGTTGAAAATTTTAATATGTTTAGGAAAACATAGTAATGCCATTTTAATGTAGGATATATGTGCATATAAAATCTCAAATACAAAAATTCTGGATAAATGAATAAGATGCATTCAAAGTTAAAGTTATTTATACTTACTCTCGAGGTATATCATAACATATAAAAATTAGGATGTAAACAAAGAAATCTGTGATGACTAATTTGTAAATCTGTTGCCCCACGTATGTTTCCCAGCACTGCAAATAGAGGAAACAATTAATTAATAAGTTTATAACATACACTCTGCATAAAAACTCTGCTCAAAGTTAAGTAATAAATACTACATTAAAAATTAATTACAAAAGTAATTTTTTCACAGCACCTGAATGAAAACTAAATAATTATTATAAGAATGCATTGCAACACTTTTTTGTACAAAAAAAGTACTTTGATGTGGAATACATATAATAATTATAATAAACATAAACAGCAAGAGCTAGGGAGTACTGAGTAAAAAGCAAGACTGGAAATTTTTAATCAAAATAACATAAAATCAAATACACTTCATACAGATGAGATATCTTTAAGAAAGATTTGATTTTCTTTGAAGACAAAAATAAATCTATATTAGAAATAAAATTCCAATGGCGTTGTCAAGTAGATTTAATTCTTTTACTTTAAAAGCATCTGAAACACCTATATACTAAAATGGGCAGTTACTCAACTGCCAAGCTAAATTCTATTCCTGTTATGCTTCTGCATGGTTTTTCAGACTTGTTGAATGAAACTGCAATTAGTATTTTGTCATCGTTTGAGTATCTGTCTTATCTGAGTGAACATTTCTCTCTGTTATATGCTTTTCTTTTTGCTGTTTTTCTGCATCATGATCTTTACTACCACTGAAATCCACAGTTGCAGACTGCCCAAAGGATGAAACTGAAAAGTGGAAACATATAGTAACAGACCTCATGGAAAATGATTTTGGTAGACTTCTAAGTTTTTTGCAATTTACTTCTTAGAGAAAATGAATTTGTTTTGAACACAAATTCATAAACATGGATATTTCAGAAATTTAGAAAAAACAGATTTTTGAGGTTGTCTGATATAAAAAATTTCAAAGTTCTGGAAAATATCTCGAATATACTCTGCATGAGACACATAAGGTGATTTGTAATCAGACTGAATTAAGATAGCTGAATATTTGCTTTATTTTGTAGGGAATGACTACAGGAAGTTTGGGCTAATTAATTTATTTGTACAGTAGCATGGTTTTGATGCATAAAACTTGGTACTTTTCTGTTAGAGTGGCGTCAGTTAAAAAATGCACCGCTTTTTTTGGCCACGAACTGTTGCAAAGTATAAAATTATGAAATAATAATAGAGTTCAAAAGACTAAAAAAAAAATTAGTAAAAAGTAATTTTTTCTTAAGTTTTTCTTTTTAAACTACTATATTCTACAGATAAATAAAAAAATAGCAAAACAAAGTGAAATTCAAACTAAGCAGCTGACATAAAACTACAAATATCATACAATATTGCAGAAAAAATTGCACTTTTTGAATATAACCGATGCCAGATAAATTCTATCAAATAGGTGGTGAGCAGTGCCCAGCTGACATTTATTTCTCTATTTAGCACTGCCCCACAGTTTGAATATGACGCCCAATTTCGGGATCTACAAAATTACAACTCTGATTCACAGTGATATGTTCATACTCATCATTTCTTAATTCCTCTTTCTTTTAGCCTTTCCATCAATCTGAAAATATAATAATGCTGCCACCTGCAATGTTTACCTGAATGGCTGTTATCAATGTTGTAGCACAACGATCGGGAACAGTAAATACACATTGTTCCAGAAGAACACATCCAACATTGTTTTTTTCTTTTTGTGAAAAGACCTTAAAGTAGTTAATCCAATCTATCATTGTACTATGGCTGATTTCTAACTGAGGTTCGAAAAATTCAATCGAAGTCAGTTCTTGACACCACAGATAGTAAAACAAACAGCATTGAAGAAACAAAGATGCAAGCCTTCTTTGGTTCTCAATCCATTTTTTTTTTCACAGTAAGAATGTACTAACAATGCCATATAGAAGTATTATTTGAGTCAAAAGTTAACTTCATCGGATGATTTTAAGAACAAAGTTTATTGCTATGAATTATTCCTTTCTTCTGAAAGAATTTTATGGCAGCCTTTTCATCATCAATCAGTTGCAAAATCGTGCAATCCATCGTATTAAAAAAAATGGCAAAATATGTCAACAAAATGATGAGTGATGATATTTCAAACAGAACTAGAAATCTAGACTCGTGATATTTCAAATGCTAAATTCTTGAGCCATGATATTTGGCGTGTTGTTGAAGCATGGTTTCGTTCTCACTTTTACTTCATATTTAACTGACACCCCTCTGACAGAATAGTACCAAAAACTTAAAGCTGCAAGATAACCACTGAAAATTCTATTAAGTGTTTAACATCTCTTAAGAATACATAAAAATTTATGTTGCCTTTAATGATTACTCAGCCTATAAAAGCCAGTTACAAAATTACCTCTTTCCTGCACATGAAATAATGACTTGGCAATAAGCTGCACAGCTGGACATACATTTCAGATTTTTTCAGAACAGTAAGTTAGGCTAGTATATGTAAATATATGTCAAAAATGACACATATTTTAGTTGAGCTTCAATACAGATGACCTTCAACCCACCTTTAAGATGGCTTTCCAATAAAAACACAAAAGATTAAAACAAACTGCCTGCCATATAACATTTTTATGCACTGAATTTGAGAAGCAATGTTTTGTTAAAAATGAGTCCTCTGGATATACAAAAACAAGTTTTTGAAAGATGATCAAATTCTGACATTTAAAAAAAAAATTATAATAACAATTCACATCAGCAACAACATATTTTTGATCATACAGTTTTATGTTTTCTATTCTAAGCAGATATGAACACCCCAAATACATATACTGGGTGATACATGTGTACATAGATGATGGCTATTTCTAGGTACAGTTAATAAGTCAAGCAGAATTTAGAATTCTGTGACTGAGCGCAGCCAACTGATCAATCACTTTTAACTGGAAAGAATAGAATGAATAAGTTGTAAATTTGCTTCTTCTTATAAATAAGATAATAATAATCTTATAAATAAGATAAGAAGCAATATAAATGAGTGTAATTTTATTGATATACAGCAAATGGAGTAACTTATCACTTAGCTAAATAACTGATCTTACCTATATTCTATAAAATATTTCAAAATATACATAAATCCAAATAGTATAACTTTTGAATTACTTTTAACCCCCTCCACAATTTGATGCCATGATGACTAATTTGGTTTATTCAAGCAATTTGTTCATCATGGCTACAGGTGATTAAGTGTAATAGCTGTTTTTATGGAAAGATTTTTCTGTGACAGAAGTAAAACATAAAGATAAAAGTTAAGGTTCTCACTCCTACACTCAGGGAAAGGGGGGCATCTGAAAAGATTTAGACTTTAACATCACACTGCTGGGTTGTTAAAAGTTTTTAATGCTGTCCTTGAGCTCGCAGTCTATCTGTCTGCTGTTTGGTTTACTCCTGCTGACACAATGTTTTTTTAACTTTGTTATTAAACATCACTTTCTTCGCACTTACAGCACATAAAATTCAACAGCAAAATCACAAAATTTTTGTAAATAGCAGATCTTCAGAATTTTCAATACAATGTTATGTGTTGCCATACATACAGTCAAAAGTCGTTAATTTGGACATCCATAATCCGGAATGATCTATAATCCGGACCTCAAAGCTACAAACTTTCTGCATGCGGCGCGTTCACGCATGCGCACAGGCGTTTAAGAGTGCGCGTAAGACCTTTACGTCTGCGAATATGTTTGTGCGCATGCACGTTTAATGTGTAACGGAGGTATAAGCTAAGCTAAAAATTCAGTTAATGTTGCAGATTGCGTTGTTCCTTAATCTTCGAATTGGATCCGGCTTATTATTTTTTGCAGACCGTTAGAGGAATTTCATAAAAGTAAGCTTGAACTTTCGATTATGTCAAATAGAATTTCCGATATATATTTACTAATATGTAATTTGTATCTACAAAGCGAAAGTATGTTTTGAAATCCGAAATCTGTTTATCAATTTCACGCGGCGGATTGGAAGTTGATCTGTCACCACTATCCTTATCTTCAGGGCAGATGTTTTATATTTTATTTGGCTTATAATTCCTTACTAAGTGTAGTATTTCATCTCGATGTACTCTGTCTTTGATATGATTTAAATCAAGTTCCTCGTCATTATAATTCGCTTCCGATAGTGAAGAAAGTGACCCAGAGGTTATTGAAAACGAAAACATTTCGATTGACAAATTAGTCGGTATTCTCAATACAGCAATTATAGGACTTGAACAGCGGAACTTTGTAACTAAACAAGAAATTATGTCTGTTTAATAGAATTAAAGAGAAAGTATTATCACATGAAACGAAGCAACTTACATTGAGAGAAATGCTTAATAAAGTAAACAATAAATATTAGCTTTTTCTTTTTGTAAATTTTGATACCCTTTAGATCATAATTGTTCTTTATTTCATAAATTACGGTTTCATATTTTTAATTTTGTAATTTCTGCATGCCATCTTACCAGATTTAAACTGATGATCTATAATCCGGAAAAATCGATAATCCGGAATCGAAGTCCCGACGAGTCCGGATTAACGACTTTTGACTGTATTTCAGCCAGAAGGGATATTTCTTTCAAATCCCACTTTTGCATTGAATTACTTTTGGGTGCTACTTTGGTAGATGGTTGCACGGATTTTGGCGATTTTGTTTTCTCGAGCGATACGACTTATGGTAAACCCATTGCTGGACAAGTTATTTATGGTAACCAATACTTTGTTGTCATTTTATTTAAAAAATAATGCGTTTTATTATGCATAAATTCCATGTTTTAAATATTACTTATGATTTCTAAATAATAAAAATTATTTAACTGTGCATTTTTATTTGAAATAAAAATTTTATTGTTTATGATATTTTATAGAATTTTATGTTGTGAATGATGTAATGAATGATGTCACATTATTTTAAAAGTAATTGGTTTTAATATCTATAAATTTAATCTGATGTTTTAAACATTATTTATGTCTGTTAAATATTAAAATACAATTTAATTTTGCATTTTTTTAAATATGATTTTTTTATTATGAATGATTATTTAAATAATTTTAATTCAATCAGCTCCCTGATTGGTTACTGAATATTTGTGCATTACCGCGCCATTTTAAAATTTTATTATTCATCTCTTCGAATTCCTCAGATTTCAAAGCGAATGGATGTGTCCGTTTCGAAGATGAATGTTGTTATTGGTAATTACCAAGAATTATTGGTATCAGAATAAAAAAATTGCCATTTGAGACCTTATTTTGGCCAACCTAGCATTCCTAATCAAAGATTTATTTATTGTTACAAGGGTCAGAGGAAATTTATTTTAAATTTTTGGAGGAAACCTCGCTAATTGCTTCTTCAATGAAGTGCGAGAGATGTGGATCACAGATGAAGTTTTTTTTTTTTTTTTTTTTTTTTTTTCTGGTACTTATCATTATACAACAGATAAAATACTTTAAAAAAATGTAAGTACATATTTTTTCTTTACTTTATAATTGTATACTTCAATTTTTATTAAAAAAATAATACACTGTTTTCAAAAATTCCTGAGATATTTACTGCCACATATGTTTTAATATTAAATAATTATATCCTATAAAACTTATTTTAAAGGATTTGAATTTAAGTAATTGAAAAATTTTAATTCTTTTAAACGTTGGTATGATGTTTTTAATTCAATATTCAATTTAAGTAATATTTTACTCCAATTAAACGTTGGCGCAATGTTTTTATAGCGGTGTTTTTATTCTATTATATGAAAGTAATAATTTAACCTTACTTAAGCATTTTATACTCTTAGTAAATGTATCTATTTACATTTGCCAGCCATCTTAAAAAACGTTTTCAACAAAAAATTAATCCATTATTTTCAATGATATTTTTTTTTTTTTAAGTTTCCAATACTTTACTATGCTGAACTACGTAAAAACAGCATATTTCAAGATGGCGCACGACTGTAAAAACCGCGCCAATGTAAATCGCCAAAAATCCGTGCAACCGTCTACCAAAGTAGCACCTACTTTTGTTGTCTATTTCATTTTTCAAATAAGTTGATGCAGCCAGCCACATATAAGAATAATTACAAAAAACGAAACATATATACATAATGCTTTTCATAAATCCAGCTTAATAAAACAGATGAAGAACTGCACTTATTACTTTTAAATTACATACCGTATTTGACGGCATATAAGACACACTTTTTTTCCCTAAATTTGGTCTCAAAAAACGTTACCTGCGTCTTATACGTGAAGGACACAGGTTAACTTTCAATACTGAATGCTTATTTTTAGCCTGGATAAAGGTCTAGACACACATAACTTTTTCTACATCTACATGTGTATGGCCTTCTAAATAAGGGTTCATTTCATATGCCAGTGTGTCTTATATGCCGTCAAATACGGTAGTTTGTAATTTAATAATAGGCAGATTAAATATCTTATACAGTCAAAAGTCGTTAATCCGGACTCGTCGGGACTTCGGCGATTCCGGATTATAGATCATCAGTTTAAATCTCGTAAGATGGCATGCAGAAATTATAAAATTAAAAATATGAAACCGTAATTTAATTTATGAAAAAAAGAACAATTATGATCTAAAGGGTATCAAAATTTGCAAAAAGAAAAAGCTTAATATTTATTTGTTTACTTAAATAAACATTTCTTTCAATGTAAGTTGTTTAAGTTTTTCTTTGTTTCATGTGATAATACTTTCTCTTTAATTCTATTAAACAGACATAATTTCTTGTTCAGTTACAAAGTTCCGCTGTTCAAGTCCTATAATTGCTGTGTCAAGAACACCGACTAATTTGTCAATCGAAATTTTTTCGTTTTCAATAACCTCTGACACATCGAGATGAAATACTACATTGAGTAAGCAATTATAAGCCAAATAAAATAAAAACATCTGCTCTTAAGATAAGGATAGTGCTGGATCAACTTCCAATTCATTGCACGCCCCCCGGTGTTAAAGATAAACAATGTTTAGATAAACAAACGTTAAAGTTTAGATAAACAAAGGATATGCCTTTATCCATTTTTTTGCAGCAATTCCACTTTTTGTTTAATGGACTCCGAAAGATACTTTCGCTTTGTATATCCTTTACATATTAGTAAATATATATCGGAAATTCTATTTGACATAATCGAAAGTTCAAGCTTACTTTTATAAAATTGCTCTAACAGTCTGCAAAAAATAATAATCCGGATCCAATTCGAAGATTAAGGAACAACGCAATCTGCAACATTAACTGAAATAGATAATTAGATAATTTTAGCTTAGCTTATCCCGTCCGTTATACATTAAACGCGCATTTCGTAAACGTATTTTGCGCACGCGCACACGCAAATTCGCAGCGGTAAAGGTCTTACGCGCATGCGTCAAAGCGACGCATGTGCAGAAAGTTTGTAGCTTTGAGGTCCTGATTATAGATCATTCCGGATTATGGGTGTCCGAATTAATGACTTTTGACTGTAATGACGAGGAACTTGTTTTAAATCATATCAAAGACGGAGCATATCGAGATGAAATACTACATTTGGTAAGGAATTATAAGCCAAATAAAATAAAAACATCTGATCTTCAATTATAAGCCAAATAAAATAAAAACATCTGCGCTGAAGATAAGGATAGTGCTGACAGATCAACTTCCAATTCATTACGCGCCCGCGGCGGCGTTCCCCCACCGAGCAGCGTGAAATTGATAAACAGATTTCGGATTTCAAAACATACTTTCACTTTAGATCCTTTACATATTAACAAATATATATCAGAAATTCTATTTGATATAATCGAAAGTTTAAGCTTACTTTTATAAAATTGCTCTTACAGTCTGCGAAAAATAATAAGCCGGATCCAATTCGAAAATTATGGAACAACGCAATCATCAACATTAACTGAAATAGATAATTAGATAATTTTAGCTTATACATCCATTATACATAAAACGCGCACTCGAAAACGTATTCTGCACTTGCGCACACTCATATGCGCAGCCGTAAAAGGTCTTATGCGCATGTGTCAAAGCGGCGCATGCGCAGAAAGTTTTTAGTTTTGAGGTCTGGATTATAGATCATTCCGAATTATGGGTGTCCGAATTAACAACTTTTGACTGTACTTTCCCAAATGCCAACAAACTGGTATGCAGATGGTAAAATATTTTATATCAGATATCTTTAGAATTTCCAATAAAGTCTTAAAAGTTGCCATACATTTTTTTCATATCTGCTGTGTTATTTCTTCAAAAATATCACATAGGGATAACATTTGGTGGCAACATCTCTTATTTACAGTGCTATACATGTTTTTTTTTAATATATTTGCTACATTATTTCTTTAAATATTGTGCTTTTCTCTGGGAAATGGAGAACATCTAAGAGAGTTGATGCAGTTGTTAGGATGAGTGAGAACTGAACAGAAGAAATTTCTGGCAAGTTTTTTAATATAATCTTGAATTGCTGCACAAATATCTATCTGACATTTTCAATCCTTAACATTTTTTACTTATACTAGATTCTTCAGTTCACTGATTTAGACCTTTGACTAGAAACTTACCTTATTCGTCGACTGATGGCGGCCACTTGACTTTTACTTTTGTCTTTTTGTTTTACCAATGTTCTTCACCTGATACATAGTAAAAGGAGGCACTGCTTTCTGAAACTCAAATTCGCTATACGTTCTTAGTTTAAACATTGTTGCCATACTTTTTTTAGATACTCATTACATTATTTTCTTAAAAATAATGCATGGTGATAACATTTAGCAGCAACATCTGAAAAGTGAGATTAATAGCATTTCTGGTAAAGGGCAGGAATGATGGAGAGGAAGGTAACAGCATTTGAACCAGCCTTTTATTTTATTTTATTTATTTCTTTAAAAGCCCAAGTACGAAGTTGGATTTTGTTAAGATATCTTGTTTTCAAATACGCATAAAAATTTTTATAAAATGATAAAAATTTTATGTTCCAGTTAGAGTTTAAATTCATTATTGTCAGTAATTCTTCAAAAATTTATTAGCAAAAATATATGCATTTTGTTTTATCCCCCTCCCTTTAAATATTCTGCAAAATCATTAAATGGTTACTAGAAACAAAATTTTCTCCCATAAAAACTTCACTAAAATTAATTGTGTTTCAGTTTTTTGATTAATGATTTTCAATATGAGTCCATAAAAGAATGGCACTTTAACAATAAGTAAACTTAAGAAAATTTTGTCTTGTTCAACTTAACAAATATTATTATGAAACTGCGAAACTGTTATTAACAGATAAAAATTACAGTTAGCTATATAAAATATGGCTCAGTAGCTATATATAATCCTACAATCCGATATAAAAATGCCAAATGAAAGATGGTGCACTTTAAAATTACTGCTACTAAAGAGATGAGAAACAGTAACATGTTCTATGGAGTGAACTTTCAAGTTCGATAGCCAAATCCAGCTTTAGTGATTAAAAAGAATATTACTTATTTAAGCGCATTACACCAAATTATGAATAAATGCAAGGCTAACTGCATAGTTTACAGAAAATAGCATAATTGGAGGCATTTTGCATAACTGAGACATAATTTGAGGTACTGAATCAAAATACTGAATATAGTCAAAACACAAATTTTAGATCAATACTATATATAAAAATCTAACAGATATTCTTTGAAGATGTGAAAAATATAAGTTGACTTTTGTCTAACAGCCAACCACAATGGGAAATGCAAAACTGTCTTCTTTATCACTGTATATAAAGCAAGTAAAATCATTAAAAGAAATTTCAGATAATTAAAAAGTGCTCACAAGAGGGGTACGGCAAGCAGCACTAATCCCAGCATTACACATATCTCTAGGTTGACATGTCAGTTGCTGATGGAGAGTGCTAACCAGAACAAATACAGATGAAAGCCTCAAAAATACTATCCTGAAACAAACAAACTGGTTTTTATAAAATATGAATGAAAATAATGAATGATAGGTACAATTTGAAGTAATCAAAACACATCGACCATCTATGATGAAAATATTGTATGTTTTAAAGAAATTATGTTTGCCAATAAAATAAAAATATTAATCACTGACAAATAAAATAGAATAATGTCATTTTTATCTAAAACAACAAAGTTTAGATATATTATACATAGATACATGTACATAAATATAATTTTTTCCCACATTTCTGAATTTTATATAAACATTAAATTTGATATAAACATTAATATTAAAACCATCCAATATTATCATTATTTAATACATCTAATATTAAAAAGTAATTTTCTTTCATAAAAAAACTATGCTGGAATAGTACTTTTTGCTGTAGTGTTACAATAACAGCCTGATTATCAGGCATACAACTAACTAAAAAGCTAAAGCAACTGAAAAATTTGGGATTTTTTTAACGTGTTTTCAAAAAATTAAGCAAATGGGAGATTTTTATAGTCATTATAAAGCATGTACAGGTTTCTAAAAACCCTGTTGATAACTTCTAACATATGAACAGAATTACAAGCCTCTCTTTCAAAAGATGTTGCTTACCCCAGCCCTTCCCCAGCATAATATCCATCATATTGCTCTAAAAATTTATCTGCGGAATAGACCATAGCCAAAAGTTGAAAAGTAGCTGTCACAGTTGGCCATGATACACTTCACAGAAAGAAACGGGGGGAGTTATTATCCGGGAGTGTTCCCATTAGCAGTTCTTTGTTACTACGGCACAGGAACATAATAAAATTTCAAACTTTGTCTTAGAGGTATACTTGTGGTAGATAAATAGTGCTAAGGTCACTGCAGAATTTGGAAGTGCCCTTGATATATGTGTTTCAACAGAAACTGCTTTCACCTGTTTTACCAACACATATTCCAATAAACTTCATCATAAGCTGAATGCTGTAACGGTGACAATTTTTAAAAGTTTTACAAATCTTTTAACATGACAGCAAATTAATCTTGTATCTATTTTGATTAGTTATCCATTTATAGACCTAAAATTTTTGTCAGAATAAAAATTGGTAAAAATGAAAGATTCTTCAGTATCTAAAACACGAAAGTGTTTTACTTTAACAGTTACTTAATTAGAAATACACTGGTTATCATAAATTAAGGAAAAATTACAAACATCACAATTACTGAAAAAGTTACATGTAGAATTTAATGACACAATATACAACACATAGTAAGGTATCAAATAACATAAAAAGAAATTACCAGACAAATATGGTAGTATAGAAATTAGCACATGTATAAAATGAACAAATCGAAGGTGTCCTTTGCTATAGGAAAAGTACCTTCAATATGGAATATGATCCCCTCTAGAAGCAATACAGCACATACAGCGATGTGTGATGCTTTCAATTATGCGGTCTATCAGTTCCATAGGAAGCGAGAGCTATTGCTCTTGCAAAGCAGTTGCAAGTGCAACAAGGGTTTGAGGGGGCGAATTGAGAGCAGTTAAGACGTCTCCCTAAAGCATCCCAAACGTGCTCGATAGGATTCAAGTCCGAGGATCGAGCTGGTCACTGCATGCGCATAATTGTTTCCTGTTGAAGATAATCAACTACAGTGCGAGCCCTGTGTGGTCTTGCATTGTTGTCCTGTAACAGGAAAGCATCACCTATTTCCTTGGCATATGGATGCACATAAACATCAAGGATGTCATCTCTATAAATCTCAGCATTCATGGTTCCCCTTGAAAAGACATGGAGGTCTGTGCGTCCACCCAAAGAGATGCCACCCCAAACACAGACACTGCCTTTTCCGTATGCATCTCTTTCACAGATGTTTGACAGATGATAATGGGTTCTAGGTTCTCTCTATATCAAATAACGCCTACTATCACTTTCTAGACTAAACCTGGACTCATCCGTAAAGAGAACCGCCCTCCAATGATCAGGGGTCCGGTGGACATGTTGTCATGCCCACTGAAAATGGTCCCTCCTATGGCGTAACGTGAGCAGCGCACAAATGGCTGGTCGCCTCGCATACAGACCACCTTCGTGAAGCCTTCTATGCACAGTTGACGTTCACATGAACCTTCCGGTGACTGCAGCAAGGGAGGATCTAAGAAAAGTCGGAATAGCAGTTCTATTCCTGCGTGCACATAATATCAAATATTGGTCATTGGCGCTCATCGCATAGCAGTTGGCCGTCCTCGGCTGAACCTCCTAGATGCCAAATCTGTGGTTTGAAATTGCCTCCAAAGTCTATGAACCACAGAAAGACTCACATTTAGCCATCTGGCCACTTTTGTTTGACTTTGTCCTGCCTCTGGTCTCCCAATGGTTCTCCACAGTTCTGCAGGCAAATGATGCCTGGAGGTCGTTGTTACGAATTGGCTATCTCAGATTTCTGATGTCACTGTCACAGTGAAATATGTGGGCTTGCTGTCAAACATGACTTTTATGCTCCTCGCAGATGACGTATTCTGAAAGCAACGCCACTAATTTACATATCGCAGTTTTACTCAGCTACTCTTACTTGGCAACATATTCAAATTTTACACGGTTTGGCTTATTTTTTAGGGAGTTATCGCTATTTTTGTGATTTTTCCTTAATTTATGATAACCAGCGTAACTAACAATTCTGAAAAAGGTAAAAATTTAATGAGAGATTTTTAGTATTGAATTATCCACAATTTATGATATTAAATCTCAAAAAGAAAAAATAATGAAATTTGCCTTCTGTTCAAAGAAAAGCAAAGCTTTCAATAAAAGAAAAACTTTGCAACAGTCTCAAAATGGGAATTTAAATAAATTGCTGTGGTAGTGGTTAATATTATATATTTCAAAGGAGTTTCTGTTTCTGGGCTGATGCTTATTCAAAAAACAAAAGATTTTTTTCCCAAAAATAAATGTTGAGAAAGCTTGCAAATTTTCAGATGAATGGCTTCCTTGTTTAAAAAAACTTCATGGAATTCGAAAGATCAACACATACATATTCAGTGAAAAACTTTCTGCTGACAGAGAAGATGTTTCTGAATATGCTACTTTTTGTTCAAAACTTTGTAAAAGGAAACAAAACAGTACAAGAAAATAATAAGCAGATGAAATGGGTCTGTTATTTCAATGTCTTCCAACTTCAATTTTAGCAGGTACTAATGAGCACAGGCAGGTATCACACATTTCCCTGTGGTATACAAACATCATGTTTTTTGTTGTCCTGCCCATGAAGTCAGCTAGATTATATCATGCCTTAGGCTATCTGGAGGTAATTTTCTTCATAGAGGTCTTCCTGGGGACAATCACTAATTTGCTACATTGCAGCCAAGATGGTGGGGCAGGAGAAGATGTGTTCTGGTCCAATTTTGATTCCAGGGTAGTTTCTGCAGACAGTGAAGGTTCTTATTTGGTTTCCGTATGATTTTCATCCCTCTGAAATGGCCAGCAAGATGGTTTGTCCTTGTTAGTTAGATGGTAGTATGATTTTCATCCCTCTGAAATGGCCAGCAAGATGGTTTGTCTTAGTTAGTTAGATGGTAAGTCTTGTCAAGGTTCTGGAAGTAATTCTGTTGGGGTTGAGTTCACATAGCTGAAATTTTTGCCTGATGGTTGGATTTCTTAGTTTTGACTTAGCAACAGAATCTATACCATTAAGTGAGATGGGATGATGACATTCTCCATTTAATTCTCTCGCTTCTTTGGCCAGGGTATTCGCAGCTTCATTGCTGTCTATGCCGAAGTGGGCTCGTACCCATTGCATTATACAGTGTTTATTTAGTTGATTGATGTGGGCCAGGGCATTACGTATTTCATGGTTCTGTCTCGAGACATGCTGCTGAATTGCCTGAAGGGCAGCCCCCTGGAGTCACTGAAGATTATTATTCCTTTGCCTTCTTGGAATTTTTGAGCTTGATATAGATATGGATAAGGGTAATTTGAAGCAATGTTTCCTCCAATTTTATGTTGTTTTATGCAGTCATCTGGGGAAATAAAGTTTATTCCAGCTCCACCATAAATTAGTCTCATCTGAAGATCCCTCTGTGAATGTGCAAACACAAACCATTCTCTGAGTATGATTCTATAGTCTTGTTGGCTTTAGCTTTAATGTTGATAGCTGGCTCTTTTTTTACAGCATTGTTCAAAAAAATTAATAGCAATTGTTGTATTTTGAGGTAGCTAAGATGGTAAAGTTGGTTCCTGTAGAATGTTATACTTGTAATGTTCCTGGCTGATTTGCTGTCTAATTGCAGATGAGTCTGCTTCAATAATTATTTTTGCTGCTCTTGCTTGTATGTTATTGAGCTTTTCAAATGCAGATTCTGAAGCCTGATAAGAGTGGTATAGATAGTTTTAAAGTCTTAGCATTTGCTCCCCAATCAATGCCACACAGCTTTTTTAGAATTTTCAGTCTTGAGACTGACTAATTTGCACATTTCCTGATATGTTCAGTAAAACATAATTTTGCATCCAGAATTAGTCTTAAATAGACTGGGTTTTCTGTCTGTAAGTGGTTGGTTGTTTAGGGATAAATTTCGTGAGAAGAGATATCTGTTTTTTATCTGCAGAAAAAATGCTGCAAGATGTTTTTTGTGGCTTAATTTTCAGTTTCAGGGATACTGCCCATCTGGATATTGCCTTTAGGGAGTGCTCCAAGGATTTCTCAGACCACTTTAGTTTTGCATCAGTATACCAGATGGCAATATCATCAGCATAGCATGTTACTCTGTGAAGGTGTTAGTGACTGTTGTTTACATACATAAGAAAAAGCAGTTCACTAAGGACAGACACATGTGAAACCAATTTGCTACATTGCAGCCAAGATGGTGGGGCAGGAGAAGATGTGTTCTGGTCCAATTTTGATTCCAGGGTAGTTTCTGCAGACAGTGAAGGTTCTTATTTGGTTTCGTATGATTTTCATCCCTCTGAAATGGCCAGCAAGATGGTTTGTCTTAGTTAGTTAGATGGTAGTATGATTTTCTTCACGCTAGGTCTTTTTGATTTCTGAATTGATCCTTATTTTAAATTCCCTATTTCTGTGAAAGTCAGAAATCTATATAAGGGCATAACCCTGTACTCCCAGTTCATTTGCAATTTGAATTAGTTTGTTTCTCCAGACGATATTGAATGCTGCTAATGCTATTGAAAACAACTGTAGTTTTCTTGAGTGGCTTTGCTTGGAGATCAGTAATTTGTTGAAAGAGATAAAAAGTTGATCTTATGTAGCATGTTTTTTCTATATGCTGCCTGGTAGAAAATGATTTTGTTTTCTTTTAAAAGTTCCATCATGATTCTGCTGTGACCTATCCGCTCCACTACTTTGCATAATACGCTTGTACTATTGGTCTGCAATTTTTGCACTCATCAGCTGCTTTACCAGGTTTATTAATATGACCAATAATTGAGGATTTCCATATTCTGGGCAGTTTTCCTGTAGACCAAAATGCATTTATGAAGACCAATAGATGTTCTTTTGCCATATAACCAAAGTGCTAAACCATTTCTTCAAAAATGAGGTCATTTCAAAGTGATTTTCATACAGGAGTAAGGTTAATAGCAGTCTGCAGCTCCTTCTTGGTGATGGGTCTGGAGAAGTTATTAATTTTGTGTGCTCAAGCACATAGAATACAAACATCATTTTGGATGGATAAGAATATTTTCCTTTATTAGTTCAAAAGCCCTTTTGTGTCATTTGTTGTGAGTAAGTTGAAATCTAAAAGAAAACCCAAAGACAGCTAAGTTGTTTTACTGACTAATAACTGCTGAGCACAGCCTCACAAAGAGAAAATATGTTACACCAACATGTGAACTAGGCCTCTTCCCCCTAACATAAATGCTTTGACCCAACCAATGGATCAAAGAATTATCCAAAACTTAAAAATGATTTATGAGAAAAATTTTATGAACAGACATATGAATGCTGAAACATCCCTGATAGAATTTCAGTCAGCATTTTCAATAAATGATGCCATTTACAGGCTTGCAAATGCTTGGAATGTAAATCGGACACTTGGGAAAAGATGGCAGAATATTTTACTTTAACTTTTAGTCAGATTCACCTGATGAAGAATTTGATGGTTTTAAAACAGAAGAACAAGATCTAATAAAAATATTAAAAACTTTAGCAAGCAGAACCAAAGCTGAAGAATTCATTTCTAGGCTTGAAACACCTGAAATTGAGGCTCGGTTTGATTGCACCGAAAATTTGCCCATAACAGAAATGCTAACAGAAGAGGATTTAATTTAAAATGCCATGAAAGAGAAACAAAAAATATTTCTTGGGTTTATGCAGAGCAAAGGTTTTTCTGACATTTTACGAATTTTGTGAAAAAAAACCCTCAAAAACCAAAGAGGAAGTTTAGGAACTGCATCTCATTAAAGAGAGATTTATGGGGGGATATGAATTGAAACATACAAACATTCACAACTTATTAAATGTTATCTGTATCAGAACAATGTTAATTATTAAAGATTTAAGAATTTTATTTATTTCGGAAAAATATAAAATGAATGTCCTCAGTTCCATTAAATCCATTCTGGGAAAACGTCTTATAATTATTAAGAAAATTAGGTATTCAGGTCATGCTTTCCCATCAATTATTTTCAACATACAAAAAATATAGAAAAACAATATGATTCAGCATCAATAATGTATAAGTGTAATGTCACAACACAACTGTAATATTTTGCCTCAGTTTTATGTGTACTGGATTAATTCTCAATAAGGTGGTTTAGTTTTTGTAAAGGTGATACAAGTCGACAGTTATTTATTAGTTTCTCCTCATAGTTTGGAAAAAAAAAAAAGGTTAAAATTTGGGATATCTATTCTGTGGAATAGCACAGAATATTTTCAAAGGTGATAATGAAAATATGTTTTAATGGCCACAACATGCGATTGTATTTGAAAACAAATAAACAATGGCAATGCTGCAAAATTATGATACATGATTTTCATGGTCGAGGACATTTTAAAATAGAATAAGATGTTTTAATTTCATATGCTGAAGGCCTATAAAATACATAGAATTTTAAGCATGAAACATTTTTTTTAATCTTACATAATTTTTATTGTATTTTTTTTATATATATTCCAGTTGATAGCAAATAAGATGATTGTTTTTATAATATTTTTCAATTAAAGTACTTTTCAGGTATTAAAATTATGCATAAAAACAGCTATTTAAATTAAATTTTCTATGGCAATGAATATAAGAAATAAATTTTTATCCACATTTCTTCATCATTTTACTAAAAATGTCCAAAATATTTCGTCAAATAAAATTTTTGTATTGTATTAAAATTAACATTTATTTATGTTATATTAATAACATAAAATAAGTAAACATTTTGCCAATATTATTAAATACTTTGAAATTATGCAAAGCAGGAAAACTGTACGTGAAAATGGTACATACATTTACCATTCTCACAAAAATCAGTAAAGTTTTATATGTTTTTCTTTTATAAAGTGGTCCATCAAATTATGTTTTTTTTTTTTTTTTTTTTTTTTTTTTTTTTTTTTTTAGTAAATGAGAACAATTAATTAATAATTATATAAGACTGGAAAAGAGAAGAATGTTACCTGAAAAGGGCCATATTTATCTGGGTTTGAGTATTATACATCTCAAGCTTAACTATACTGAGAAAAATAATAGGAACAACCAAATTGAGGCCAGTAATGACTAGTGGGGAAAGATATTGCACAAACAGTGTGTTTGTACCAATGTTCTTTATACGATGTAACTGTAGTTCCTGAAATGGAAATTATGTACTTCATTTCATGAAATTTGGATCATATAAAATTAGTTTATCACCATATTTTGTAAAAGTTTCATCAACAGGTTCACTGAATGTTTTAACATAGCAAAAAAGGAATTCCCACATAAACCTAAATTACTAAAATTTTACCATCTAAGCAGTTTGGCCTCCAAACCCTAAATTTCCCAAATTATAAGTGAAAAATGACTCTTCCAATTTGCACCTTTACTCTGCCTTTCCCCTCCCCCAAAATACTATAATTATGTGGGCAAATTTCTAGATGTAAGTGTTAAAGGTATTATGACAAATATTTTTTAACATATTTATATGGCCTGGCTGCTTAGATGGTTCAAGGATTTAAAATATAAAACTATTCAAAAATAGATAAGAGAATAAAAGAATCAAATGAATCTTAAATTCTTTTTCCTTTCTTTCCTTTTATTTATTTATTCAAAACATGACAAATGCATTTGGCCTTTACTGCATTTTATGCCACTAACAGCACTGCCTTTCATACGGCAAATTATATTTTGATATAATTCTAGCAAAATGATTGTTTTAAATTGCTTTATGTATTTCAAACACAATAAATAAATTAAGCTCTTCTATGCATGCTTATATGCTGTTCACTTAATTTATTAACTGGTACTACCAAGATCAATTTTCTTTATGTCTCAGTTTTATTTTGCCAGTTACAAAATAAAGTATAGTACAGAACATGTTACTTTTAAATAAAATCTGCAGTTTTTCTATTTTTATTTTTAAATTTATAGAAAACTTGTAAAAGAAGTTTTCATTAAAGTCAAGTCACATATTTTGGCATCAAATTGGTGCATTTTGGTTTATTTGTTCCCATGTCTTTGGCTCTATACTAGGTGAAATGGAACCATCAGAAACAACAATAAGGAAACATTTTCTAATCTCATGACAAAATTTTCCAAAAGTAGATTATGGGGGGATGAATACAGCTTACAATACTTTTTCCTTTTCCAGCTTGCAATAAGTAAACTTTTGTCAATTTCCACAATTTTACTGCATCTATCAATTTTAAAGATATAACAAGGAATTAGCACATATATCTCTCATGTAATTATTTCAATCAGTGTTAGCATTGATTCATTAAAAGCAAGAAGCCATCATTCCACAGTAAAAAACAAATATGTAATCCAAACAAACCACAACTGATTTCAAACATTTTTTCTTCCTAGTATGAATAAAAACTGCAAAGTCATTTTAACTTCAATTCAGATTTTAAGTTCATGAGATGGTTGTTTCAGTATGATCTTTCTTTGTAAAGCATATTTCTTTTTTGAAAAAAACAAGATAGTCACATAATCTCTTTGCAAATCCCAAGTCAAGGAATCCATTGCAGTTACAAAAAAGGGGGATAAAATAAAAACATGGTCATGCAAGCAATAGTTATTAAAGCAATTATCACCAAACTAAACACTCAACACCTGGTGCACAGGAAAGAAATCCCTACAAAAAACTGCTAAGCAGTAGGGCTTTAATGGGGAAATACTCTTCAAACTGGAAACTATGTCACAAGGCAAAATTTTATGCTACATATTCTATAAATAATATTATATTATGTAGGATATAAAATTATACCTGCAAATTATGCATGAACACATTATCTGTAACATATAAAATACATGAAACCTTACCTTTAGCTGGTAATGAACAACTTCGTATATAAGGTAATAACAACCAAGTAAAGTTAGCACTACAAAAAGATTTACAAAAATTCGCAAAATTAATACTCTTGTCTTTTTGGCATTAGACCATTCTTTGATTTCTAGCTTTCTACGTTCTTCAGCAAGATTATTCTGAAACAGAGATAGAACCAATGTAAATAACTTATTACAATTAATTATTCCAAGCAAATATTTCATGAAATTTAGCTAAAAACTCCAAAATCTTTTTTTTTTTTTTTTTTTTTAACTGAAAAGTAAACAAACCTTTATTTCATTTGCAATGCTTTTATGTCTAACTCTAGCACTTTTCTTATCTTCAATGCAATAATCCCAGGAACAAAACATGATGTTAGAATAAAGTAAATAATTGCTCTTTCTTAGCAACATAGTTTCTTCAATGCCATGGGATGAACTAAAATGGAAGATACATTACGCATTACACCTACATTATAACAAATAACAGATTATTGAATTTTACATAAAATTTTTTATACATACTCATAGACTCCAACTACTACGGATTCGCCGTAGTTTCTACGGAAATTCATGAAAAACTACGAGCTACGAAAAGTATGGAAAAAACTACGGATTTTACAGAAACAAGAGCAGGAGAACCAGTACGCAAAACGGAACCAACTAATTCATCCAATGATTGGCTGAATACTCGTGTTATCATATATCACGTGTTGAGTGCGTTCCTAGTTTTGAAGAATTAGCCAATCGTAGATCAGTAACTCCAACCGTTAACGACTTATCAATAGTTCCACCCAATTGTCTGTCTCCCAGGTTCCTCGCTGATGCGTGTTTAGGCTGCATTCGGCTGCATTGTGTAGTTTACGGCGAGAGCTTAGCGTGTGTCTTGTGAACTGTGAATCAGGTGAAAGATTTTTAATCATAATGCTGCCTCGAACGAAGAAGCCAAAATTATCAAAGCAGAAGTTTAAAGATTCATATTCTTCAGAATTTCCATGCATTAAAGCGTCCGAAATTTCTGTGAATCACGCACACTGCAGTGTATGCAACAAAGACTTCTCAGTTGCTCATGGCGGAAAAGATGACTGTAAACGGCATGTGTTTTCTCAAAAGCATATAGAACTTGGCACCGTAAAATCTAAAGAAATAACAAATTTCTTAATAAAAGATGATGAAACAGATCCTATAAAAGCCGAATGCTATTTTGTTCGTTTTTTAATTGAACATAATCTACCGCTTTCTGTTTCGGATCATTCCAAAGAGCTTTTCAAAGCAATGTTTCCGGATTCTGCCATAGCAAAAAAATTTAGCTGCGGTCATACCAAAACTGCTGCTATTGTGAAAACGCTTGCAGAAAATACTGTTGCTGATATTATAAAATCAGTGTGCAGTACATCATTTTCTCTAAGTACTGATGGAAGTAATGATAACAATGATAACAAACTGTACCCATTGGTTATAACATACTACAGTAAAGAAAAGGGAGTGATAATTACTTCATTGATTTCTATTTTAGAATGCATGAATAATACAGGAGAAGGTATTTTTAATTATATAAATGAAAACTTTAAAAACAAAGGTGCTTATCATTTTCTTCAGATAATGCTAGTAATATGATTGGAAAGTTTAAAGGTGTAGCATCATTTATCAAAATGCATCAACCAAGTATAATCACCCGAGGTTGTCCGTGCCACCTCTTGCATATAGCTGCAAAAAAAGCTACTGAAAAATTAATTGGCTCAGAAATTGAAATGTTGATAATAGATATATATTTTTACTTGGAGAAAAGTTCGAAACGGAAGCATAGCTTCAAAGTTGCTCAACAAATTTTGGGACAGAATGCAAAATCTCATAAAATTTTGAAATATTGCAGTACGAGATGGTTGTCTCTTTTAGAATCTATAACAAGGATTTTGGAACAGTGGGATGCTGTGATAAATTTTTTTGGAGATAAACCAGATAACAGTGAGAATGAAGGAAAGAGATTGCAAAACATTAAAAAAATTTTACAGTCACCGACCACCAAATTGTACTTGTTATTTTTGAAAAATACTTTGCCTTTGTTTATAACAGTAAATATTAATTTGCAACAACAAGCTCCTTATATACATAAATTGAGAAGAGAACTTTTTGAACTTTTAATGAATTTATTTGTTAGATTCGTAAAACCATCAGTAATTTCTAAAGAAAATGAAGATGTTACTCTAACGTCTATTCCATTTCAGAAGTATAGTAAACAAAAAGAAAATGAAAATTTAGTGATTGGTGCGGAAACAAGACTATATTTAAAAAATGCCAAGTTGAATGAAAGTGAAGTGAAATCATTTTTCAATTCTGTGCGAGCTTTTTTTGTAACTGCATGTTCATATATAATTGATAAATTTCCACTGAGTGATCCATTTCTAAAACATGCTGAAGTTGCTGACATCAACTTGAGAACTGAAGTCTCATTTTCATCTGTTCTTTACTTGATGAATACTTTTCCATCCATTATTGATGAAAAATGTCTTAATCAAGTAGAAATTGAATTTTCCATGTATCAAGTAGATGATTTGAAAGAAATTGTAGATTTGCGTATTGATATAGCATGGGGAGAAATTGCCAAATTAAAAAATATGAATGGGTGTATTAAATACAAAGTATTGCCTTCTGTAATGCTTGCTGTCTTAATAATACCTCATTCAAATGCAGCTTGCGAAAGAATTTTTTTCTATTGTTAAAAAAAATCAGACGGAATTTCGACCAAATTTAGGTCTTAAAACTCTTGAAGCAGTTTTGATTGAAAAAATAAATATGCAGGCAAATGAAGAACTGTGTTATAAAAAAACATTCTCAAAATCAGAACTTAAGCTTGCTAAGCATGCTACATATAAATCTTTGCATTCATAAATTATGCGTATTTTGTTTAATACTTATATGTATCATTCTTGGTTATTTAAATTTTATTTCCCTGTAGAAATCATATCCAGAATAAAGATATGATTTATAGCTTCTGATTTTTTTCTATGATTAGTAGTGATTTGAAGTACTTTTTATTAGTGAATGCTTGAGGAGTTAAAAGAAAATTTCTAATTAAATGTGCATATAATTTACAAGGTATATTTTTAATTATTCAGTTTTATATGTATATGGATTTTAAATGTAATAAAATTGATTACAATTAATTATTAATTTAAAATTAATGAATGGTTAATTACAACATACGCTACGCGCACATTTTCAAAGTTGTAAAAATGTCGTTCGCGCGTTGACTACTGACAAGGTTTGCTGAAGGTTGGAGTCTATGCATACCAAAATAAAAACTTAAAACTCAAACACAATCATACACAGCATTAAAACACCAAATATGCAACATTTACTGCCAACAAAATGGATAGCAAATGTTTATTTATTTTAAAATTGCATATGCCAAATATGTATTATCCAAAAAAGCACAAAGGCAATCAAATGACTCTATTTTTTTAACCCCAAGGACATTAGCCCAGAAGGGCTATTAATTTCATTTTGGCATTTGGGGGGGGCAAGCATAGTTAAAAATGGAGTTTTCATATGTAATGCACAAGAGGACATTCAAATAATCCTGCCATATATGATTTGCTTTTTTATACACCTACATTAAAGCAACATAACACATATTTTACCAAGAACTATGGATAAATGGCCATATGCAAGATTCAAGACTGAAGTTATTCTCCATTCTTCTTGCTGGCATAAATCTGATAAAAATTGTTGTAGATTATATTAGTGTTTGGTAAAGACCAATGGTCATTCTGGACTTGAGTACGAATTCATAAAGCATAAATCTTTGTGATTGCAGTTTTTTTGCAGACTGATTGTTCAGAAAACCTTTTCAAAGGAAGGCGGACTACAGTACAGAAACCTCAGATTTTTGTTTCTTAGGATAGTCTCAAACTAACTAAGATACAGCTTTGGCAAATAGTCCTGATGTGCATAATCCTATTTAAATAATCCAACATAATTATTTAGACAAAAATGATAATCAAGAACTTAAGCAGTGTGAAAGTTTAATCTTTTGGATTGTTTATATTAAAAATCATTTCAAAGAAAATTTCATTTCACAATCAAGACAATTTTTAAAAAATCCAATTATTGTAAGGTAATAGAAATGGTGCTAACTGAATACTGATGCCTTCTTATTAAACTCTTAGGACTATCTTAAAAGGGAAAAAAAGTAAAATCTAAAACGGTTTCAAATTTTAACAGTCACCCAGAAGGGTTTGTTGAGATTTTTTTATGCTAACACTACCAGTCTACTGTCACACTTACTTTTGCTATCTCATTTCTTTTTGACTTTTTAGCTTCATTATTAAGCATAATTTTCTTTGCACTTATGCTATATACAATTCAACAGCAAAATTACAAACATTTTAAAAGCAGCATATGTTTAGAATTCCCAATGCAGTGTTAAGTGTTGGCATAAATTTTTCCATTTTTTTCCATATTTTCTCGTTCATTATATAAATGTTCAGTTTTCTTAGTCAGACGGCTGGCAAAACATTTTTTTTTCTTTTTATTATTTAATGTTTCAACTTCATTTAATAAATATCATATTTTTCACACTTTCATCACATACATTTCAATTCAACAGCAAAATCATAAAATATTTAAAAACAGCATATCTTTAGAATTTCTAATATATAATCTTGTACAATGGAGATAAAAATGTTTTATTTTGTGGAATGTTGTAAGTGCTCTCTTTGAAATCATCAAATTTGATAATCAAGAATTCGTTAAAACTTTACAAGATATGAAGTAGATAATAAAATAAATTAAAAATTAAAATTTGTTCCAGGTGCAAATCTTTGGATGGAAGACTATATTATTTAAAACTAGATGGCTCACAACTGTAGTCATTTTTTCACAATGCGAGGAACATACATGAATTCATGCACATTCTTTATTATTTAATTTCTCTGAGAGTAACACATGGTGATAATATTTTGTGGCAACAGTTTGAAAAGTGATTCACACATTTAAAAGTGATATGTGACAAAGAACTATTTCGAGACTAATAACCCATTTGGGATAATGCCCTTTTAGACTGAAAAAAAAAACAAACTAAATCTGAACTTTTATATAGCAAAAACATTTCACAGAGCTAAAAATTAAATTAAAAACAGCACTTACACACACACACACAAAAAAAAAAAAAAAAAAAAAAAGTAGTATGTCTTGTTTACAAGCAATTTCAGAATATATGAATATGACTATATTTTAATAAATTACAGTGAGCTGCTTGGCAGTTTCAAACATAAGAAAACAAATCTATTTTAAATGAATTTGCAGTACATGTAATCAGAAATTCTTTTTCATATAATGGTACATATATATATAAGAGTGTGTGTGTGTGAATGTGTAAGATAAAAAATATATAACTCAACTTTTTAATTCAACTTAACAGTAGACTTTTAATTCCTCATTTTTAATTTTAGTACTTCCTCTTTGCATTCCAAAAAACTGAAGTTAACTTTCCTGGGCTTTGTCATTTCTAGATAAATCTATGATATGTGGCTTGTGTTACATGGCTATGATACATGGCTGATGACGTAGCTGAGAACTTGAACTCAAGATTTTGAGAACTGAAACTTTTCTAACCTAAACCAAAACCATCCTCTTAAAGAACTTCTATATTTGATAAATGCACACTTCACTTCTACCTTTGTTGCTGCTTAAACATTATTTTGCTGTGCTCTCTTTCTATCACAACAGTATCAATGTAAATTTTCTGGAAGTATGCATGATTAGAGTGCCACCTGAATTGTGGCCACAAATGTCAGTTTAAATAAAAATCCACCTCAACTGACAAGTTTCCAAGTTTCTTAGATGTTACAAACTCAATATATTAGCATACTATGCAATCAAAATTCTTCTTCAATATCAATCTACTACATTCTGTGAATTGTACGTGCTACGCATTGACATTGCAAAGGCCCCTTTTTTTACACACACACACATATATATATGTGTATAATATGTAAATATACTGTCCTTCATATGCAGATTTACAACTATGTGGAGACAACCATAACTAATTGCACATACTTACCGTTATAGGATATTATCCTCTACTTTCATCCTCCATTTTTACATTTTTTACTCATTTAATAATGAAGCATTTATTTGTCTCCCAACATTTTTTATCATATTACTTTTTTATTTATTTCTTCTCATTAGTGCTAAATTTTATTCAGTTTATAGACCTGTTATTTTAATCAAATATATTATTTACTTTTTAATTAGAGTTCAAGAGATAGCAAAACTTGACAGAACTATCCACAAAAGTAACTGAGAATCCATTAATAAAGGAAGTGGGTAAAGAAAAGAATTTTAACTCCTCTTTAAATTTAAGTAAGACTTAATAATAAGCTAACTTTTTAAATGTACTATCACAAGTAATAAGAGTCAAAGTCTATATACATTTAAAAATAAGAAAACTTAAAAAAAAAAAAAAAAAATTGTAATATTTATTCTAAATTACTAACTCCTTTAAGATGATTAAATTCTATCTTTCCTCATTTCATAACAAGTGTTCACAGCAAAAACATAAATACATTAATTAGCAAGAAGAGGAGGTTGATTTTTTTTTCTTTCTCTAAGAGGCAAGGAGATTTAAAAAAAACTGCAACTGAAACTAATTTGATTTTGCAATCACTTGCTTGCATTCATTCCACCTAAACTGGCTTCTAGTGGAACTAGACTGATGAAGAATATCAGATGGTAAGTGAAAGATTTCTATTTGATTAATTAGTGTTTGGTGATAGATGGTCAGTCATATCATTACAAGTGCTCTTATTTAGGTAATTAATTGTATGTTCCAAACAATTTAAAATTATTGTAAACAGTGTATTCATCTGCCCAAACCAGTTTTAAGTTATCCATCAAATTATATGCCTAAAATAATATTTTAATTATTATGTTAATTTTGTTTATTTTAGTAACTAAATTTAAATAAGAGAAATGATAGCAACTTGCAGATCCTGAAATAAAGCCTTGTTACAGCAGACAATTTAAATATATTACCTTCAGAGCCTTTTTTATGCATGAATTTAAACAGGCAATATCACTTTTCACATAATTAGTCACTATCTCTAAAAATCCTAATGTGTACTGCAGTCTTACTTGTAATATTCACATTAACACTTTTTTAAAAAATATTGTTTTACCTTTTTTGTTTTAAAGTTTATCTTACTGGCTGCATAAGTTTATAAATATACAAACCTATTTTTTGAATTTTTCATAAGAACATTATTTTAAAACATTTATTTCTATCTATTTACTAACTTATTCTTTCAAAAATGGGCTCAACTTTCTAATATTTTTCCAACCTAAGATTCCTTAATCACTTAATCACTAAAAATAATTGTCTGCTCATTATCAAAAACATTTGCTTAACTTCTAGTTATTGCATGTTTCATTTTACAAATAATAACACTTTCATTAAGCATTTCCTTACCTTACCTTCTCTCTTGAAAAACAATCTTACTAAAAGTAATGCAACTCGAACAAAACAGTTCTAAAATTGAGGACTAACATATATTCCAAAACTGATGACAGACAGCAGAAATCAAACATTATCAGATTAGTGTGTTACATACATTAATAATTAATTCAGTTTTGCTTTTATGCTCGTACCAAATAGAAACTGAAATGTTCTTGCCTTTGCTCATTTATTTTTATAATTCTTTCGTCTTTTGATCTAAATTTTTGAATTTAAATGCTTATTTTTAGATTTTTTTTTTTTTTTTTTTTTTGTAGATGCATAATCCTAAAGTCTATTTAGCATGAAATGTATTTATAACCTCTTTTTTATTAATATACTTCCTTAGGGAGGATTTTAGTTTCTTCTCCTATTATCTAGTTAACTTGTTATGTAGGAAATCCTGTACAGACTTAAACTCTTCTAATAATAAAACGAAGATTATTTCTACTTTACTATAAGATATATATAAATAGAAGGTTAAAAAAAAAGTAATTTCATAAAATATACTTACTATTGCACCATCATGATTATGCTCAAAATAAAAGATATTATAAGTACTGAAAGGAAGGCAAGTGGCATGCTGTAAACATAACCCAAGAATGCAACTTCTTTAGGTGGATAAGAACCAAGGAACAAGAGAGTGGTTTCAAGTACCCCCTGCACAATAAAGAAATAAAATATATGAAACAACAATAATAAAATTTATCAACATAAAAACATTTAAAACGATAATACTTTAATAATATAATATACATACTTGAGTATACAAAAATAACAAATATGAAAACTAAAAAACATCATATCAATTAATCATTCTGAGAATGATTAGACTGAAATCAGACAAAAGTTCTTATACATTTTTCACTTTGCTGAAATAAATTTGAAAATTTCCATAAACAGTTTCACTAGATTATTATTCACAATACTTGCATTATTTAAACATTTGAAATTAATTTTTCCTACAAACATCATACTGCCCAAACACAAATTTTACATAAAGATAAGACTTGACTATTAAATAATCCATCAAAACCTAACTGTAGTTTAAATAGTTCAAACTGGTTAAATAAGTATTTGGTATGGCAAAAGCCTGTAAGAGTTACTCCTTAGCAAAGTTTTTTTACAAGGAGGGGGGACATTTTAAGATGAAACTGTCTCATATTCCCATTAAATATTAGGGGAAAGCAAACCAGACAACCCATTCAGGCACCAGGAACAGATCCAAAATAAACAACTAGCACTTAGCTATCCTATTCACCAGGCCCCAAAACTGTTACAACTGAGACCAAAAATAATTAAAATAAAACAGTACGAACACAGACTTTATACTATTAATAAAACTCAAATGAATCACATAATTTCTAATTTAATGAATTTGTAAAAAGATATTTTCCTTTATGATAATACAGTCAAAAGTCGTTAATTCGGACACCCATAATCCGGAATGATCTATAATCCGGACCTCAAAGCTAAAAACTTTCTGTGCATGCGCCACGTTGGCACATGCGCACAGGCGTTTTACGCGTGCGCGTAAGACCTTGACTACTGTGCATATGCGTGTGCGCAAGTGCAGAATACGTTTTTGCCTGCGCGTTTAATGTATAACGGACGGTGTAAGCTAAAATTATCTAATTATCTATTTCAGTTAATGATTGCATTGTTCCATAATCTTTGAATTGGATCCCGCTTATTATTTTTTGCAGACTGTAAAGAGCAATTTTATAAAAGTAAACTTGAACTTTTGATTATGTCAAATAGAATTTCTGATGCTGGAACTTCCAAAGGATCTACAAAACGAAAGTATGTTTCGATGTCCAACAAACAAAAAGTGGAATTGCTGCAAAAAATGGATAAAGACATGAAGAATGTGACAGAGAGGTTAGTGAAAACGAAAAAATTTCGATTGACAAGTTAGTCGGTATTCTCGGCACAGCAATTAATGGGACTTGAACAGCGGAACTTTGTAACTGAACAAGAAATTATGTCTGTTTATAGAATTAAAGAGAAAGTATTATCACATAAAACGAAGCAACTTAAACAACTTACATTGAAAGAAATGTTTAATAAAGTAAACAAATAAATATTAAGCTTTTTTTTTTTTTTTGTAAATTTTGATACCCTTTAGATTATAATTGTTCTTTATTTCATAAATTACGGTTTCATATTTTTAATTTTAGAATTTCTGCATGCCATCTTACGAGATTTAAACTGATGATCTATAATCCGGAAAAATCGATAATCCGGAATCGCTGAAGTCCCGACAAGTCCGGATTAACGACTTTTGACTGTATACGGCAATTTTTTATTTTTCAGTTTACAAATGCATAGGAAAATGTGAATATAGTCTTTTCATAAAGAAAAGCATGTCTTACCAATACATGTAAAATATTTTTATAAAACTTAATTCTTCACATTATAAGAAAAAATTACATTGCAATGTTTAAATCTGTGGAATCATAAAAGATTTTACACAAACGATATTAGTATGTAAAGAAATATATATATCAAAGGTGGCCAAACTTTCATGTCAGTAAGAACCGCATGCCAAAATTCAAGAACATTCTAGAGCCACAACTAGACTTTCCAAAAGCTACAAGTCCATATTTACATCATTTTAAAAGTGGTAAAACTGGGTTCAAATGGAAAAACAAGGCTATTTCTAAAAAATCATCAGTGACAGTTTGCTTTTAGCATATGATGATGAATCAAAGACAATGCAAAGTTTTGTGTTGCCTTTGTTTTCTCTAATTACAGCTTGATGCAGCAAAAAGTACTCTTTTTCAATTTTTAAATACTTCAATTCTTCCCTGATACCTTCTTATAAATGTTGATCTATCACAGCTTTGCAATGCTCATGAAATTTTGGATTCTTCTTAAATATGTGCCAAAGGAACTCGAGCGTTATTTTCTGCCTCAAAATTATACTGCATTTTCCCTGCATGCTCGTACTATGGCAAGCAATCTCTATGTCTGTTATCCTCAAATTTTATGGATTCTCAAAATTTCCTAAAGATAACATTTTTTTTCTAAGCAGTGTTTGCCATCAGATTCACTACAAACTGCTAGTGTTTACAATTGTATTTTTAATTGTAATATGGCTTTTGAAAAGTCTAATTCATTTTTAACTTTGATATTAAATTTTCTGATGCATTACATGAATTTCCTGTTCCACTCACAGACCACCTCAATTTAGTTTTCTACTACTACTGATGACTAAGAAATTTGCCAGTCCCTTCATGTAAAGCATTTACAAGTAAATCTAATTTTTAAAGATTTTCTGCACAAAATTGTTTGGTAGAACTGGCATAATATTCTTTATTTTATTCATTTATTTTTTTAATGTTTTTGAATAACATTAATTAGTTTCTTAACTAAGAGGAAATTAAATAGAAATAATTATGTTTAGATATTTGATCAGTTTAAGTTTCCTAATAAAAAGAAATGAAATAAATAAATTTTCTTTTGGGCATTGACAAGTTTTAGTTTAGTATATTTCAAACACATATTTTATTTGCATGTGAGCCATACCATTTGCCTGCAAGAGCTGCATACAGTTTGTGAGCTGTACTATGGCCACCCCAGATATATATACATATATAAAACAATTTTGAATTGTAATAAATATATGATGAAGATAGCTTTTTATCAAAAGTGATATGACTAGTTGATTAATCCTGTCATCACTTTCATACAATTAAGTCACAACAGCTTTATAATGACTTGAAATTCTTGCTATTAAATAACAACTTTATACATTAATTTTTATTGATTAATTAGTACTGCAATTCCATAAAATAGATGAAATAATTGACAGTTATAGAAACAGAAACATATATTTAGTAATTAGACATGGTTAAATGTTACAAAGTTACTCCTTCTTTTTTGTTATTAATTATGTAGCAATAACTAAAAATTTGATCTTATTATTACTGCTGCTACTTGGCTCAATATATTTTTCTATCTCTCAATATCTCTCTTCCTAAAACACATTTTTTTTGGTTAATTTACTATATAATAAACATTGTGCAAAAATCTGAGAGTTGTGCTTCAGGAACTTCAAATTTTTTCAAGATTAATGAATTAATGCGTTTCTGAAAAGTAAATAAATTTTATGAAAATGAATCATATTTAATATGGTTACTTTCAAATAAATTTTCATGAACAACTTCAAACAATTTCATCATACAACTTCAAAGCTGGAGAGAGGGAGGACTAGCTAGTTTCTAGGTTAGTGCAAAAAAATTTATATTAAAAAATTCACAAACTTTCTAAACAAACCAAACGAGTTGCTGTGTTGTTGCTCATGCTCGCTAGTCTGACATAGTCAGCGCAAGGCCACGGAATTACTTGAGGCAAGAAGCGCTAGATTACGCCTGCCATTGGAAACAGCCTTGAGCACCATTCAGATGACAGTGCAGTTTAGCTCAGTTCTGCCTCCAATTTTGATGGAGAGCACCTGGGGGGAGGGGGAAGATGGTTTCGAGGGTCTCCCATTCCTCTCCCTTTCCACCATACTACATGAGAGGACTTTTGGATCGCCACATATTTAGAGTGCCGCCATGCTGCATTGACACTATACATTTACAAGGATCCACACCTTCTCTAGGATTCAAACCCAGGCTCTTCGGCATGGCAGTCAGCGACGCTAAATACTATACCAGTTGGGCAGCAACCTAATGAGTTTATTGTTCAGTAATTATATTTTTCTTTTGTGATTAGTTACATTATATCAAACAATGAGTAAATCAGGCAATTTTTGCTACTTGTAAATATGACTATATAATACAAATTGTAGAAAAGTATAGTTTCCAAATTAATGAAAGTATAAAACAATAATGCACAAATAATTACCGTTCCTTGCAAAACGTCTTCAAATTTGTTAGAGGTATGCAAACTGGTATTTTGTAAGTCGTTTACATAGCGCCATCTGCAATATTCTGAAATATTATGACGTTCTTCAAGGGTGCGATTTCTTCTATCATAATATAGAGTGAGATCCAAAATCTCATCAGGTATGTAATGATCAAGTAAAGTACCAGCATAACTTAGAATATCTTGATCTATCATTGCATCAGAGAGGTTTAGAAACTTTGGCACTTGATACTTCTAAAAAGAAAAGAAAGAAACTCAAATGAATTATATGAATAAATATTAAAATTAAATTAAAATCATAATATAAATTTTAAGTTATCTCAGTAATATTAAAATCATCATACAAAAAAATCAAAGGTTAATAACCAAATACATAAAAAAGTACACATCACCATATTTATGTAAAAAAATCAATATGTTTATTTTATTTAAATGTATAATTTGGCAGTTTTTTGCTTGGTATTCTACAGTATTTACAAGGTATTTTCACCCTCTTTTCTGCATGCTTTCGTGGTGTATGGGTGGCACGCTTGGCGCATATTCGAGAGGTCCAGGTTTGAGTCCTGGCGAGAACATTGCACATTTTTCACGTGTTTCTGCTTCAAAATAAACTAATGACTCTACACACTTAATCTTTAAACTTGAAAAATATACCATACTGGAAGAAAAATGAAACAACCTCACATATGACCAACACACCTTTGAGGGGTTGGGAGGAATTGGTTTTACATACAAGACAGCCAGTTATAAATAAGGCATCAAAGTTGAAAGCTTTTTTTTTTTTAAAGAAAGAAATAATTCAAATAGTTTAAGGCAATGTTACAGAAATATAAATAATTTACTTAATTTGAAAGAATAATTGAAAAATTACCATAATGCATTTTTAAATGATAGGCTTCACTGAATGAACTTCCCCCAAAAGCAATTATTTCTAGTGCATAAATTTGCAACTAATTTATTTTTTAACAAGTACAAATAAAACTTAATAAAAATTGCATCTTCAAATCTCTGAGTGAGATTTATACCACATGGGAAATTAAATAGCTCCATATATAGCTTTTTCTGGTGTGTTATTCATGTGCATTTTTAATGGAAGTGAAACTAATATCAGCTCTGACTTAAGAAAAAAAAATCTTGCGATCTGTAAGTAACTGAAATGTCTTTAGGGGCCACATAAAACTGCTTCAGAGGCCATCAGTTTGAGATAACAGCTCTAAAGGATCAGTTACAGACTAATTTAGTACCAGAATCCCAATTAGCTAGAGAATGAACAGCAGAATTATATAACAATGCAGCACACAATATAATAGATACTAATATTCTGCAGTACAGCAGAAATGTCTTTTATATATATTTTTTTTGGGGGGGGGTTACTTGCTTTACAGTGGTTTCTTTCTTTTTTGTTGCAATATCTTGCAATGGTAGTATTTCCCCATGTTCATCATTATGAAAATGCTCTTATGGATGCAATGAGCCACCTGTACATAAAATTTTTACTTTTAAAAAGGGAAAAAAAAAAAAAAAAGTTTTACAGATTCACCTTAGATAAAGGATAACCTACATATTCATGTTAACTTGATGCAAGATATTTCCAGTAACTTGATATAGAGATTTATACACTATGAATTTAAAAAAAGAAAAAAATCTATACATACTTTTGTTGAAGATTTTTGTGTGAGATCTTCTTCAACTGGGAAATGATTCAGAAATTCTTCAGTGAATATGGTTTGATTTTTTGTTATAGATGGTTCACCATGAGGTATAATAGAAAATGCAACATGAGGAAAAATTATAAGGAAGAGATAGAAAAGAAATGTTAAGCTATTTAAAAATATCAGCCATCGAAGGAAAATGAAATAGGACACAATTCCAGTTCCAAACTGACCTAAAAAGAAAAACAAAAATAAATTAAATAACAGAAAAGTATAAAAAATAAAATAAAACATGCATTTTAAATCAGATTTTAGAACAAAAATTATAAAAGTGAATCACAATATGATGCAGATTTACACTGATTATTAGTACACGACATCAACGTTGATATTTTTTGACAGTTATAAAATCATTTAAAAAATCTACCCGTAGCCCATGATTCTGCATATTAGTGATCACAATTACCAACATATTTATTGTCTTTAAGTTTTGAAAGGAATAATAATGCAGTTTTGAAAATTTCATTTAATTTTAGCAGTTATGAAAAGGGAAAATAACCACTATTTAATAATTGGAGACTTTCAAGAATTTTTTATTTTTGCATTTATAACTAGAACTACTTTTAGTTCTGCATTTATAATGAATGATTAATATTAAAATACCTGGGAAATCTCAGATAAAATATATTAACTTTAAAAATTCTACATTTTTTGGCCTAATATTTGATATACACTGACTATAATATTTAATAAAAAAAAAGTGTTTGGTACAAAAACTGCAAAACTTGCTAAAATCTATTTACATTTTAAGCACACATTACATGAGCAGACTTAATATTTTTCATTAAACACAACTCTAAGCAATCAGTGCTTCCATATATTGTTACATTATGAAAGACACTTTTTTTAAGCAGACATAAAGAGAAAATTAATGATTTCAGTATTCCTACCAGCAGTAAATATATTTACATACATCTGAATGCAATAAAATTTCCTTGAATCACTACCCACAAGTCTAGATAATTTTGATATTTTGTGGAAATAATCACTTTACAAAGCATGACTATCACTAATGTTTAATACTTTAAGAGTTTAATACAATAGAGCTTAAACACCTGCATCTAGGATGCAATTTATAATGTAGGCCTTATTTTGGAAGCCAATAATGCATGGATTTTCCTTGAAAATAATTTACACTTGTCCTTTTTCAATTATTAATGATACTTGTTTTACCTCTTGCAAAACAATGGCTATTTTTTATAATAATGATGAAGGAATAAAATGTTTTTCAACTTTTTCATATAGGTTACTTCGGACAATTTTACTGCTGTTAGATTAGGGTATTGTGCAGGAAGAGAAAGATAGTCAAGCTCACTTATAGCTTCTTTAAATCAGTCCATCACCAGTTTTGTGAAGTGAATTGGTGCACAGTCATTTGATACATATATCCTTCTTGACAAAAAGTTTGAACAAATGGGTGGACCTCATTTATTAATAACTCGTAACAGGGATTTCCCCTTCAAGAACAATCAATGCCCCCAGAAATTTTATGACACTATTCCAAACCATCACCAACTTCTGTCTATGCACCATGCTGTGCATAAAACAGTCTGAATCAAATGCTTCTGAAGAAATCCTCTACATATAAATACTTCCAGGAGCAGGAAAGATAGTAAAGGTAGACTTATAATAAACAATACAGATTTTATATTGTCTGTCAAAATTATGCCACTGATACCATTTAACATATGTACTGGTTACAAAAATTTTTGCTACAACTTCCTAACTACAGATATTAACCCTCTGAAGTTCTCAAAAGTAGTTCAGGAGGATGTTAAATTCCATCATAATTTAAATAACTATTATTTTTGGCTATGGTTCTTTTTAACTAAATTTTCAGGTAATTTCTCTAATTCTGGTAATTACTTCATTTGCAAAAAGCTCTTTCTTTTTTCCTGAGTTTACAAATAAAAGCTTGGTTACTGAAGAACTTGATGTATTAGAATAACCAGCTGTCTTAGTAACAGATGTACCAGCCAGACAAACACCAACAATCTATTCTCTTTTGAATTCCAATATAACTTTTATTTTCTAAATTCTGAATGCCTGAGTTTAGTATCTCTAATACTATTGAAAACTTCCTAATTGGTGACTGTTTTAAATTAAAAATCATTCAGTATTCCTTAGCAGAAATGTATCCGCTGGCTTAAAATTTGGAATATTATATTCTCCAAGAATTTTACTTTCATTATTCAACCCATGTACATTTAGTTATGTTCCAGAAATACTAGTTGAATGTTCTCAGATTCAGGTTTATTAGTGAAAGTTATTGGAGATATCACGAAGGTATCCACCATAAAGTGCTTTAATCTACTCCATTTTTTTTTTAAATTTAAATAATTCTAACAACTTTTAAATCTCAAAGCATCAATTTTCTATATACATATTAATAGAAATATCTGCATGCATGCAATAGATCAAAATGTCATGTTTCAATCAACTGTCAATTGCAAAACATAAATTTGATTTTAATACAATTAATAAAACTTCAGCTTGCAAAGAACTTAATTTAAAATAAAGAGATAACTACCATCAAAGTGAAATCAGAGTGATTCACTGTATCTCTAATAGCCATTAAAATTGTCCAGCGTGAAAGAGAAAGAAATTATGTATTATAATAGAATCTACAAGAGTTAAACACTAACATAAAGCATTTGTAGTTTTTAGTCTTACAAATCAATGTAAATTGAGAATTACTTCCAATAATTACAAGTGTATTTTTAATAAGACCAAGTATAACACAAGTACTATGTTTAAAAAAAAAATTACACTTTTAAGTTTGAACATCTAAAGATGTTCAGACTACATGGACTTGTAACTTACTATACTTAATTATATTGATTTACAATTTACTACTTGCTTTTGTGCCTTTTCTAAATTGCTAGAATTCAAATGTTAAGTCTCTTTAGAATTGCATCTCTATATATGTCTCAAATCTTCAACAAAAAACACACATCACCAGCCATATCTCAACAATATTTCAGCCTACCTATTACAGTACATAATCATATAAAATATCACCTCTATAATTCAATACTCCAGCTTTAACATTATGCTAAAATACCTATCATTACTAAATATATATACTTCACTAAAAGTGCTGTATGAAAATTATGAATAGAAATAGCATTATATTGATATGTACATATAGAAAATGCATTTCATTTTGTAATTTCAAGGTATTTAGACTAATATAAACATATAATGCATTTACAAAGATTAGTTCAATATTGTGCATGTTCATAATGAATTTTGCTAATGCTATTTAAAACTGCACACAATGTCTCTTTCTTAAGTGTAGTTCTTTATATAAATACAAGGCTAAGCACATTTTGCAAAATATAACCAAGTTTCCGTCTTTCATCATTCACATAATCATGCACATTAATTGAATTAAAATCAATACTGCTAAATTCTATTCCTTCCTGGGAAAAATCCAGCTTTATGAATTAGTTATTTGAAATTCATTTGAACTTTCTGAATTCTATTTGGGCACAGTGAAAGTTTCAGGTCACAAATACCTACCCTCATGAGCAGGAGTTCATGAAACAAATTTTCTGAATAAAAATATCTCAGTGATGAATGTTATCTCAAGTAATAAACACATAAATTGGCAATAAATGTTTTTGAAGATCTTTTTAAGGTGCATATTTTTATAATGGTGTTTATTTAAAGGTACATACTTTTATAAGGTAACTCTTTATACATAACTCAGTGATTTCTAGATATATTTCATTATTCTTCACTGCTTACAAAACTTAACTCGTATGACAATGAATTCACACTGAGGAAATTATGGCCAAACTGTGTTGCAAGTAGTGATTTTGATAACTTTGATAGTGAAAATATTTGTTTTTCTGTGTTATCTACAACATTATGTCCCTAGGCAAATCCATACGCTTGGATGTTAATAATGAAGATGTAGAGGAATTACTACAGAAACCTTAAAATGAGCTCAGCATGGAAGAATGAAACAACTTCAGAAATAGCAGCAAAAGGCAATTTTGGAGAAAATGTCAAGAAGGAGAAGGAAAGAAGATGATCCCAGTTCTACAATCAAAGAAATTTATGCAAAATGGGACATAGTGCAAAGTTTCATAGAAAGATATCACCTTGATATAGTAGTAGGAAGCCACAGCATATGCACATCTAATTTTAGATTCTAAAACTTAGACTAAAACAAACCACAATAAATTTTTTATGAGATAGATGAATAGTGAATCTGAAGTAAATTAGCATTAGGAAACAAAGAAAAAGAAGCCTCAGAAGGAGTTTACTTAATATTTTGATGGATTCAGACATTCCACTTAAACAAAACAAACCTTCCATTTCTTTCCTATTTATTTAGTCAACTCTCCTTCATACAGTTATAGTAATATTAAACTAAATTTTCACCTACTTTATCTATTTAGTATTTTGTTTGCCTTTTTCTTCACCTTTTGTTTGGGGGGGGGAGGCACAAAGTATAAGTTGTTATAAGTTAAATAAGCAATCATGTGTAGTCCATGAACAGATTTATCCATTCTGCATTGACGACTGAGGAGAAAATAGTTTCAGTTTATGAACATTTCAGATGACAATTTGCCTTAGAAAATGAATTACATTCATTAACTGAGGTTTCCTTTTCACAACAAAACAGCATTAAAAAGAAAGTTACAGAACATTATCCATTTTATCACATCTCTATGAAATGCAGTATATAGCTTATTTTAAACATTATACTATTTTCTGGTACAGCTGTTTCCTAGAACAATTTAATGTTTTGAAGTGATACATTTGATTAAAAGCTAAAAATACAATTTACATATTATTCACTCTAAGAAGTAAAAGGCTAATTTTTTTAGACAATTACAACAGTTTTTCAGTTCCAAAAATATTTCTAATCAGTTACATATATCATCACACTTAAAATATTTATATAAACTGACTGTCTTTTCTCTTCTTGGATGAGATACAGTAAAAGCTATAATATTATATCTCATCAAGAGAAGAATCAGAAAAAAAATTCTGCAGTGCCTATACAGCAGACTGATACAGTCAACCTTTCACATTTAGCCCTTTTGAACACGTTCCATATTTTGATTATGCACAAGACTTTAAAGTAATATTAAATTTAAAAGGTTCGATTTCCTCAGTATCATGATATTTTAAAATTTACTTTTCTGGTTCTTAGTGAAACTTATATATGCTGTACTGATAACAGGTTTGAGTCATTGACTGATACTTTCTTTATAAAAATGATCAAAATGAAAATATTAGTAGCTTTAATGATTTGTATTCTTATGTAACTTTTAAATACTGTTTACTTCTAATTTAATCATAATTTATCCCTCTAATGATATATAAACACATGCACAAAGACATTGTTAAAAGTGGTGGTTTATTCTCAGAAGTTATGGACTTTCCCCTTTGTTTAAGGATAATTTGAAAAATAATGAACTTAATGAAGCAATAGAAGCATTTAGATATGTGCATTTGCTTCAGTAATACAGCTGGAGACAAAGAAAAAAAGTTGCAAACTGCAAGTTTGGTTGATGAAAAGCAGGTATCAAAAGAGAGGAATTACATAAGTATGATCAGGGCTGGCACCAGAAGCGAAATTATTATAGCACTCCTCCCTGTGTATATTATATATACAGATACATATACTCAACCCTCAATACGTCAAAGTACACAAGCATTTTTTTGATGTAATGCATATTTAAAATGGAGTGGAACAGAAAAAGTCACATGGTGTCAAAAATGGTAAATGTCAAATTGCCTTCTAACTTTTTTTGGCTCCCGTGATACCTCTTCCTTGAGGTGAGGACCGGATTCTACAGTTTTAATGTTGATTCGAATTACCTAAGCTTGTTAGATTCCAGGGGACGAAGTATGCAAATTCAAAGTAAGAAATAAGAAATCAGTGAAACTCATGGTACTCTCAAGGCTTATAATCGTTTTTGGAATATTCAGAATTAAATGCCATACATAAACATTTTCAGGCAAACCATATAAGATATATCCACACATATATAATTTTGAATTTTAATTTTTTAACAGTAAAAAATTTAACCATGCTATGAAAAGAATTGGATAATAATAACATTTCATTTTTTATTTCACAATGATTTACATATAAGAAAACACAATATTTCAATTGATTGCATTCACCACTGTTCAATCATCGAATAGCCTTTATTTAAGAGATGTGTACTCTCTTCACTTTCTCATTTGTCAATCTTTTCAAGCATTCTAAAAGAATCTAGATTATGAGCTACATTGCTTTCTATTGACAGTGTGGCTAATGCTATTAAATTATTTAGTCCCATAGTTGTCCTTAAAAAAGTTTTGATCAATTTTAATTTGAAAAAACTTTTGTGGCTGGCAACAAAAACTGGAAAATGGTTAGTAAAATTCTAGTGAAATCCATAAGTTTGAATAAAGGTCTAGTTTCTTTTTTTTTCTTTTTTCTTTTTCTTTTTTTTTTTTTTTTTTTCTATATATATATATAAAGCGTAAAGCATAAAAAGCACTCAGCTGTATTTCAGAAAAAATGTTCAATGTATATTAATTCAAAACACAATGCACTTTCATCAATGTGTGATTCAGACTAGATCTGAACATTATTTTTCAAGTTGTTTTTTTGCTTGACATAGTTTTTACATTACACAAAAGACAAGCATATGCATGCTCATTCAGTTGTTCAAATCTCACATGCATAGTATGAATCTCACATGTACTTTGTAAGTCTAACAGTGGGTTAAAAAAAAAAAAAATAAAGTGATCTTCAGGTGTTTGCATTGAAACTAGTTCAACATATCTTTAATAATCAAAATTTTTCTTAACATACAACATTCTCTTTGGTTTTTTGAAGATGGGTTCTGCATCAAAAATTTTTGCAAGCTCTTTAACATTTTCATTTGCTCTGTCAAAAAATTGTTACCCTCTCTTATTTAGTCATAACTTATATTTAAAACTTTTTTTTTTTTTTTTTTTTTTTTGGAGGGGGTGATTTTACAAGCTTGATGGCCTGTGCACATCCCTCTGGAGCTCGCCCTGAGTATGATAGCTTGAAAGTTGCTTATTTCTCATTACAGGAGCACAGAATCATGTTTATTTATTACTGACTGACAAGAGCTTTGATTTGAATATAATTGGATGATTCAATGCTTTCTATTCTATATTTTCTTATATTGTATTTATTACTTATATTCTATTTTTAATTCTAGACTTTCCCTTTTGAGGTATGTGCATCACCTCATCAGATAAGAATCATAGAACAGATATTAATTTTGGTATGATTCACTTCAAAACTATTTATTACAAACATTTTACTGCTTTGAAGACAGGAAACAGAAATAACCAAATTAAAATAGGAGGCAGTATAGGTGATTAAAAATTAAACTTGATAAAAGAGAGGGACAGTGATAAAAAAAAAGTGATAATAGATACCTTCAATACGCTTCAGTGTTGTTCCCCATATAGTTAAATTATGAAAAAGACTTTTAAAAAATGTCAGCACAGGAAAACATATCTAAAAGTAACGAAATCAGCCCTTTATTAGAAACACAGACAGTTGTTAATATTAGGATTTCTACAATTTATAATCTAATGTTCATACTCAAAAAAATGCTAATTACATTTAAAATTTATTAGTTAAATTCAAGTTTAATATTAAAAATACTTTATTTTTAATTAAAATTTTTAACAGCAGAAAATATATCAGTACATGGATAAGGAATCACATTTTTTACATAAAAACAAAAAAAATTATTAACAGAGAAGTATGTGTCGCAGATGAAGCGTTGGCACAAATGATTAAGCAAGAGATTTCCATTAAATATTACTTCCTATTTATGTATTCAACCTAATAACAACTTTAATCATCTTGAACAACATTGAATGTTATTTAGAATAAGTTAGACAAAGACATATATATAGTTTTTTATTAAAACAATAAACCACTACAAAATGTGTTGCATCACCAATAAATTTATTAACTTTTAAAACAATGTATTAATTTTGGAATGCAAACTAAAAATCTGAAATAGCAAGAAACAATATGCCTTATCTTCTGCTTTAGTTAATTACTGAAAGTTTAATCTTTCTCTCTTTTTTAACCCTATCTCAAAATTAATATTTTAAAATTTGTCTTATAGACAAAAAAATTCTCACAATGTAAAAAATTTACAAACACATACATATAAATTAATATAGTGCAACAAAATAACTAGCGAAGTACTAATTAACCAAATCTAAACATACTTGCAGTATAAAAGTTATACAATTACCTTTCGCTTAAATGAATCAGCACCTGTAGTAGTAGTACCCAGTTTTTCATAAATAGCATCCCTAAAATTAAAATGAAAGCAATAAATAAGCTTTTCATGAAAGCAGTTCTACCATTATTGCTACTTTTATCATTATTATGAAAGCAATTTTTTCATTGTCAATTTTACGATCATAAACTTACTTTTCCTTATTATTTTATTAACTAATAAATTTTTTTGGCTATTAAACTGTTTCAAAGTATATACATAGTAAACTGATCAGTTTATTTAATTATATAATTTTAATTTATTATTTAAATTTAATACGAAAGGATAACACAGTACTACAGCATATTTTTTAAACAAACTATTAGATGAATATGCATAACATGCGGACCAGCCAATAATGTTTGGCAAATAGTAGTATATAAGTATTAATGGAAAACCAATTAACATTAACTTTATTTTAACCTATTTAAATGTAATAAAATTTTAGGATGTGATGCAAAAGATTATACTGCATCCCTGGTGATTTGTTTAATAACAGACAGTGAGAGACTTTGAGATCTTCATTTAATCTTTATGAATTACCATTTCCTTGTCATGGAATATTCAATTAAAAATCTTCTTTCAAATTAAATCTAAAATTAAAGAGATTTTTTATAATTACTAAATTTCCTCTACTACATATAGAAGATAAAAATTAATAAAGTATAACTGCAGTCAAAACAGGAAACATTATGAGGCAAAACAATCCTATAGAATACTTGACATTTTATTAAGAGGGTCACAGGAGTATGGCACATAACTATAGGTTCAAGTCAAAAAGAAGATACTGAGCTTAGCAGAATGCCCTAGTCACCTTTATTATCCAGAAGCATCTTTGTACTTGACTGTAGGTTAAGTGGGACCCAAGCTGACACATTATGGCTAGAACATTAACACATTTGGGGAAGAGCATAAAATATTTAAATTGTTCAAAATCACTTGTGGAGAATCATTGTTTGAAGGAGAAATAGTGTGAATATCCAAAACATTCTAGTCAACATTGGCATATGCAAAAAAAGTGCACATGTTAGAAAGAGTATAAAACTGTTTCACATGCCATACAGAGATTAGGCAGGTTATGTGTAATTGCTGTGCTGAAGAGCAAGTTAAATGATCAAAAAGGATGAAGGATGCCCCAAAAATGTCAAATGGTCATGTTTTTGATAGGAAGAATTATTGGAATGCTGGAATGTGAAGTTTCTCAATTTCTGAATATGCTTCAGTGTGTGATCTCAAGGCCGTGGCAGAGGTTTCACACTATGGAAGATGTTACTCGATGACCAGTAAAAGGTCAACCAAGAGTATCAACTATTCATCAAGACCAATATTTGGCAATAACTGTGTGATGTAAGAGAGAAAGTTATGCCTGAGAATTCGGTTCAGCACTCACAGCCATTACAGGATTACAAGTTTTGAGGAAAACTGTTTATAGGAGACTCCATCATGTTGGTCTGTATGCCAAGCAACCGTTAGCATTTATCTCATGCCCATGCATAAACATGCTCATCTAAACTGGAGTTTGCAAAAGTAGGTGAATGCGATGTTTAGTGATAAGTCACAGTTTTTTGTTGGATAATTATATGGAGAAAACATGGAACTCATTTTCATCCAAGAACCATCATGGAAAGACATCATTTTCCTTCAAAGGGAGTCATGGTGTGGGCAGGCATAATGCTGAGTGGCCACAAAGATCTTCCCATCTTTGACACAGGATCTGTTACTGCTAAAAGTTACAAAGTCCCCGAGCCTAATGTTGACCTGTTTCTAGGTGCTGTTGGTCCTGGATTCAGATTCATGGATGATAACACAACTTGCCATCATGTGATCCTAGTCGCCAACATCTTTGAAAGTGAAAATACCCAGTGCATGCAGAGGCCCGCTCATTCTCCTGATCTTAATCCTACTTAGTATGTGTGAGATATGCTCAGGAGACAAACTGCAGCCCTTTTGCACCCATAAAACTTTGTTCCAGAGCTGAAAAGAGCTTTTCTTAATGCTTGGCATTGTTTGAGGCCATAACTCATTCATACTCTCATGGCATATACGGCAATCTTTGTGCAGCATGCATGGCTACCAGAGGCGAACACAAACCTTATTAAACTGCTAAATAATGTTTTTATTTAAATTTTTTTCACTGAAGTATAAACTAATAGTTTGCAATGTTTTCTTTCAAGCTGTTTCTTTGGATAATAAAAATTACTAATATCCTTCTTTTGAATTATTTTCTAATAGTATTACACTTGCATGTCATGTTTCTCACCATTCTGATTTAAATTTCCTTAAATATTTACATAAACATAAATTATGCTTAACTTTTGGGCACCAGTGTATGATGGCTACGAGACTGGATCACAGCAATGAATCCATCAATTGAGAAATTCTTTGTTCAAATAATTTCAGAAAACTTTGTCCCAGTGAGAAGATATTCTGTCTTATTGCCAAATGATACTTCAGGTAAATGAGAAAACTAAGCAGCAGTAGAACAAAATAAATATTGTTTCTAACAGTAAATTCAGTAAAAATGTTACATCCAATGACAAACAAAAGAGAAGTTTTTAATTACTATAAAAATGTCTATAAATTTTGTCTTCTTATCATAGATACTTTTTCACAATTAATTTTTTTAATGTGTCAAAAACTTTCAGATGAAGTTTTAGACCACAGTATACATTGGGTAATCTGAAAATATCTGCATTTTTTTTATGATACATATAATTGAAGCAGTATAAAAACATTTAAAAAAATTATTTGGATCAAATAGACACCATTTTATTCCATGACTTTTTGCCATACCTCAGGAAAATTCCTTTTTTAAAAAGTCATTAGGCTTACGTGCAAAGGAGTTAGTGACATGCTATTTGACAGTCTTCAAGATGTAAACTCCAGGCCATTCAAAAAATTTTTAAGTGACTTAAAGAGATAAAAATCTGAGATGGCAAGGTCTAGTGAATCTTGGGGAGAGGGACACAAAACATCTCAGCCACACTCAATAAGCATTTGTTTGATATTCATTGAAATGTGGGACTGAGCATTGTTATGACAGAAGATAGCTAAAAGATTAGTCAGTTTTGAGGACTTCGCTTCAATTTCTGCTTTTAAATTTGCCATTTGGGAATAGTATTTTTCTGAATTTATTATCTGATTTAATCATTCATCCATTACCACATTTGATGGCATAAAAGACGCACCCTTATTTAGATGGCCACACACAAGGAAAAAAAAGTTTCAATAGCGTGGTTTCTTTTAGTTCTCATGTTTCGTAAAAGCCAAATAAACAATTATTGAATGCATATTACCTTCACGTATAAGACTGTGTCCTTCACGTTATAAGATGCAGGTAACTTTTTTGAGACCAAATTTAGGAAAAAAAGTGCGTCTCATATGCCGTCAAATATGGTACTCTTTTTGAAATATTTAGTCTGTCTGATAGTTCCTGACCTACATAATGTGGATTTTCAGTGATAAATTCTTTTAAAAGGTTTACAGTAGATAGTCATCCAGAGCAATCATTTTCAAGGCTGAAATTTCCATGCTTAATCTTTTCAAACTAAATTTAAACTATGCCAGCAGAAACAGCCCTTTGTCCATATATAGCTTAAATTTTATAAGCAGCCAGATTAGCACTTTTCTTCTGTATTAAAATAAAAAAAAGCAAAACATGACAAAAATTATCTTTGGGGTTTTCCACATTTAGCATTGCACTGAAACAAAAGCCATGACATAACACATGCTAGAATTACACAGTGTGAACAGAAAAGACTGTATTTAAACACCTGTTTCAATCAAGTCACTGTGTATGAGAAGTAAGAAAACAATTAGAACAAAATGTTGAATTTGATTTGAGAAACCCAAAACTTTCTGATGGTAAAATATATCCTTTTTTATTAGTAACAACACTTAACATTTAAACTCTCTGTTCAAGAAATAAATTTTCTGATGATGATGTAATTTAGCATATAAATGAATAAATGCATTTTTATAAAGCGAAATGGCTCCCTTCTTCAGGGGGGAAAAATAACACAGCAGGTATAATTTATTACCAAGTAATCACAGCCAATTAAACTACACATTTTTAAAGTAGTTTGGCAAATATAAATTGCCTGGTTAATACTATCCTTCAGTTGACTGCAGCAGTCTATATAAAATAAGTATCTAAAATTGACATCTTGAATGACTTAAGTACTGATCAGAAGATACATAATACAGGAGGTCTGCATCCAACAGACAATTTTAAAAAATGACTTCAGTCTTATTTGCTCTTATATAACAGTTGGTATAAAGATATTACAGCTATTATGAGAACATGAGCAAATTATTCAGATTCTTTCAAAAATAATTATATTTCCTTAATTTTCAACAGAGATTCAATTTACAGATATTTTATGGTTCTATAAATTGCTATAATAATATAGAGTACTTTATTATAAATTCATACTGATTACTTACAAATATTATTATTTTGTTGAAAAATGTGCTTTATTTTGGCCACAAACAGCTGGTATAAACATTATATTAAATGAAATGCTGTGAGGGAGTCATTTTAGATAGGGTCATAGAAGAGTCCTGTATAGTATAACAAGTATTTATTAGCAGGTTTAAGTTACACAAGGACATTACATTTAACTTTACGAAAAATTACAGAGCAAGAGTCTGGTACAACCTATCAAGTGGGACACTTGGCTTTTACTGAAGTACTTTTCTGGCTACTTACCAGAGGGCAACCTTGTTGTCACAGTTAGTCCAACAGTTTATGTTAAAGGATTGGTCACAAAGCTAATTTTAAAATAAAGATTTAAAACTTCTCTTAGTTTTTGTATGGTTGATGCTCATTATAATGATGCCTCAAATTTTACAAAAGAAAAGGGGAAAGACATAATAACAAAAGACTTGTTGCAGAGAAAATCATTTGATATATTTTCATGGGTTGATGAATTTTCATATACATCATTATAATCAGATGGTGACCTATGAAAATTTTAAGAAAGGGTCCCCATTTTATCTCGTAAATATAAAATATTAAATTATAACTAATTTATACTAATTATAACATTTTTACAAAAATAAAAAAATACAAATAATGAGCCTGAATTAAAAAAAAAGTTTCATAATAAAAGTGCCTTTAAAGTTATAAATAAAATCACAAGAGATCACAGAAATTACACAAAAAATGAGTAAATTTAACTATACAGTACAATTTATGCCAGCAGCTGCTATATATAAGGTTTTCCTTGTTTCAATTCAGTTTATCTTTTAGAAGTTTTAAGGTAAAGCAATCATTTTGCAAATATTTTTTAATGAAGTTTAGGACTGAATTTTCTTATAAGGTTTCCTATTTTAGGAAACAGTCATTAAATGTGAAATATATTGTACAGTCAGAGAAAATCTTAAGGAAATATTTTTCATCAAGCTGAAAGCACATTCGGTTTCAGTGCTACTAATAGTGATAGTCTCCATACAGAATTCAGCTTTCTTTACATAATTAGAAATTATATTCAGTTTTCCCATTAAAGCCATTTTAATGGAATCCTAAAAATAATTTTTTTTTATTTCAAGCTTTAAAATAAAATTTAATATTCATCAGAATATGATTATGAATTGGAAGATACACTTTTCTTAGGAAAAGTAATAAGCAAACAAAAAAGAACAAGATATAGGATAGACAATAATAAAAAATATAACAGATAAACAAAATAGGCAACTGAACAAAATAGAGATAAATTTAATAATTTACTAGCAGAAGCCCCCTCCAACTCACTACTGATTATAATGGAATGGTTACTATAATGAGTGGTTTTCATTACCAACACTGTATTAGAGTCACATTAAAGTTCTGATCAAAATCTTAATCACTTTAAACTCTTCCAAAATAATCTTGAACTAACACTCTATACATATTAAGATAGCGGAAAATTCTCATTTTCAAATATAAATACTATATTACTTCATATAATGTCAAATTCTGCTTTTTATTAGAATTCAAGGTATATTTATAGCAAAAAAATACTTATTTCTAAATACAATTACTAAATTTGTTTATATCAATTCTTTCACTTAAAGTTAATCATATATAAAAAATTATTTCTTAATTCAAATAAACTAACAATAAAATACAAAGTATACTTATAATTATTTTCTTAATCACTTTAGGGAAACATTACATATATTCATATCTCATTTTGGGGTCTTTTTAAGTTTTATGAAACCCTGGAGCTATGAATTCATCTCTTGAAAATAAAGATCATGCTAAAATTAAGTAAAAACTAATTTTGCCATACAACAGAAAATAGTTGCCTGAAAATATAGCAGTGCATTGGAAACCGTATTTAGACACATAATTTGTATTAATACAGCATTAGGAAAAAATTAGTTGAGGCTTTCCTGTGCATAATACAAAATGTGTCAAAACTAAACAGTTGTAGCATAAGGTATCATGTAAAAAATGTTCTGAGTAGTATATTAAAATAGTATAACAGTTATGTTAAAATAGTATAATTTCTAAACCCATGCTTTTCTGACAGTAAATTACTTTTAATTTCATTTGACTATAAAGTAATTATAACCAGGAAATCATAATCATTTGACAGTAAATTACTCATATCAGTATTTTCACATTTTTCTTCTTTAAAATTGTCGAACTATTTCTTTTATTAAAAACTACAAGCCAATCATTACAAGCATTAAGACTTTGAATTTAAAAGAAGATATGCACGAATACATTTTGATTATTAATTCCAAACACTTATTACAATATAAAATCTACCTTTTTGAAATGCTTACAAGTTATTTATGATATCTAATGATGTGAATACCTATATGTTAATTATCTGCAATATTAGTTAATAATTGAAATTATATTTATCAGAAATTGTTAATTAATTAAAGTATTTGACTGATCTTTTTATTACACTACATAAAATTTATTACACTGCATTTTATTACCTGCCTATTACTAAAATCCACATTATTTTGTTTTCATGAACACATTTTATGAATTCAGATCTACAACCAGAATATCAGTGCCTTTTCTATTTCTTAAATTTATGCTTATAATTAAATTTAAAAAAAAAAACTTCAAACCTATTTGTTAGAAACTCATGATTGACTGAAGCATGAGAATGATTGGATTTGCTCCAACAACTTTTAGACCAACATCTTCTCACACCTCCAACATAAAAGACTTTAGCTCCTGAGGCAGCTCTTAAACCTGAATCAATTAAATTTGTTTCTGCATGTGACTGCCCATGTAACAATACAGCAATTTTACGAGCATCAGCCATTGACAAAGTTCTCCCATTGTGTTCTACACAACCATCAGCTGCTTGAAAGTGTTCATCAAAAGTATAGTTGTCATAAATTGTATCATGTCTCATTCTTTTTCTAATGTTTTTACCTTTAGCAGATTGGACAGCTTCAGCTTCATTTGTAAAATGCATAGAATGAGCATATTCCATGTCTTTATCTACAAATTGTTTTTGAGGTTTCTTAACTAAAGTTATTTCAGAATGGTCAGCCCAGTGCCTTTGCTTATAGCACAAAACATTTGCATCACCTTCATAATCATTTTCATTTCCTGTAGAGAAGGGAAAAACTCGATTATTAAAACTTTTGTGTCTTGAACTTTGAGTATTTCCCTCATTAAAGGTTACTTCATATTCCTGAACTATTTGTCTGTTTCTTGGTGTTTGTTTTGTTCTCACAGCATTTTCTCTAGTATCATGGTGCATTTTTGTTTGTGCTTCAGTTTTGTATTTCTGTGAGGATCTGTGACTAGAAATGCTGGATTTTGAATATTCTGAATCTTTGCAACTATTTTTGATTTTGACAGAATGTAACTTCTCATAATTGAACTCAGAGTTACCTGAAGTTAACCTTGTAAACTCTCCTTTGTGAACAGATGAATTTCCTGTAGGGTTAAGCCTAGTCTGAACCTTATTTTTATCATCATCTGAGCTGAATCCTTGTAACCTATAATCAATGTCTTCTTCCTGCAGATCACTTTCCTGGTTATAATTTGACTGTCTGGATTGCAGTGGTTCATTAACTCTCAAACCCAGTCTTTCTCTATCAGAAATTTCAAAATTACGAGATCTTGAATTTTTACCATAGGTTTCCTCGTCGGAGTCTTCAAATTTGCAATCCACATCAGAGAACGACTCTCTGTCATAAATTTCACTTTTATAACTCTGATTCGAATTTCTAGTTTGCAATGACTGTCTGTCTCTTAAGGCAGAGTTCTGCTTGGCAGAATCTTCAAAATGTGAATATGCAGAATCCACATATTTCTCATCATGCTCAAAATTATAATCAGCATCTGAAAAGGAGTCTTCATATAGGATATCAATTCTAGAACTGTGCACTGGTTTACTTGTTCTCAATGGCCTGCGATCTTTCAGATCTCTCTTCCCTCTATTATAATCTTCAGAAGGAGAGGGGGCAGAATATCTAGATCTCTCATCTTCATTCTTGAATCTATTAAATCTTTTAAATTCAGTTTTATTGTTTACATCAGAACATGGCCTTACACAATGATGTGCATTATTTTCAAAATACATCCTTTCAATGCTAGATAATTTTTGTCTGTGTGGAAAACGCACCTGACTAGAACACGACAATTTAAACTCCTTTTTGTTTTCCATAGAAGTTTCTTTAAATTTTAGTACCTTTCAGTGCCACATAACATAATTTAAATATGAATATTTCCAAGAATACAAACAATACTTCTAATAAAACATCACATATTTTTTCATTATTATCGCTTGTTATTATTTTAGTTGCTGTTTTTTATTGAAGTGTTTAAACAAATGTGAAAATGTAAAACCTGAATCCCAAGACAGCAACTTGATGTAAAGGAAAAAAAAAAAAAAATTATCAGAACATTACAAGGGTTATTCATAAATAACCATGGAAACAAGATACGGTATGATTACAACACAGAAGTGAACATCAGATGTCTGATAAAAGGCAAAATAAAGTAAATATAAATTCATTACTCTGTGACAGACACAATATAAAGAAAGTGAAACTATATTATCAGAATCATTCCACAGAAGAAAAGATAAGATATGAATAGAGCAAAAGTTCGCACAGATAAAAAGAAAGTAAAAAGTCAAATACTGAAAACAAACTCAAGAATTTTTTTTAATCTGTCAGAAATATGAAAATTGAATTGAAAATTTCTTAGTAACTCATTACATAAATTTGTATGATATGACAAGAGAATGAAGAATTCTTTTCTCTCCCTAGTATCACAATAACTTTTACAAGTCTCTTCATATTTCCGAAAATTATTCTTATTTATGCCTGTCAAAAATTCAAAATAAGTGAAGAAATTTTTGCAACTCTCATCCTTGCCAAAATTCTTATATTTAAAATAATTTCCAGGAAGTTGTACCACTTCTGTGATTAAAAGTCATTGTGGCAGCTTACACCATAAAATAGTCTCTTGAAATTTCTACTAAGAAAAAGATTTGAAAAAGTACTAAAGAAAAGCTAATATGTGAAGGTATAACATGAAAATCTCTTATCAAAGTTCATAATATTTGTAAATATTTTGTAGCTTCACACACTATGCAGTCATTTTCAGATCCTAACTTTAAGTAAAGAGTTTGGGTAAGCAGCTAAGAAAATGCAGAAGTGTGCTTTATAAACATGTAGTATGCATTTCAATAAGCTGAGAAGAAGTAGCTACCCTACTTCTCTTGATTCCACAGCTTCATGCATCAGTAATTTCTTAAAGTATCTTAAAATCTTTAATACTTGGATATTACATAGCACCTGTTGACACACTTGCCAATATTACTACCCCCGGCTCTCCAATCAGCAGTGGGTCAATCCTAAAAATTGTTCCGGATTCATAGTATTTTCTACTTCTTTTTCCTTCCTTTTCTAGCTAATGTTTTCTCCTCTCTCCCAACCTTTTTCCCTAAAGTAGTGTAGGGACAAGCTTCTTTATTCAATTTAATGTTTATACTAATAAAACCAAGCACATATCCGTGCTGCATCCTTTTTGGTAGCCTTTTCCCATAAAAAGCTTTCTAAGCAACAATTACTGATCTTGTATTAATTTTGTGTTTTACATCACACATTTGTAAGATTTATCTAGAAATGAAACACGCGCAATCCATTATTTTGAAGCAAAGGGTATCTTTTAAAAAAAATCATAATTGTTCTGATTCTTATGCAATACAACAGTTTATGCAAAAAACCCAATGAAATTATACTGCAACAAAACTAATAATAATAATGTGTAATAAGAACTGGGATTTGGTATCATGTGTTAGAATACAGCTGGGATTTGGTATGGAGAATGTACTTGTCTTCTTATTTAGCAGAGTTAATGTGAAAGTAGAGACAGTTGTGAAGAGTAGCAGTCTGATGCAATTCCAACCAATGCACATCAAAAATCAAATGCGGGTTAAATCACTCTGTTGCAATTTGAAACAATACCCATCAAAAATCAAACATGAATTTAATCACTCTATTGATGTTATGGTGCTTCAGAAACATCAACATCAGCTTAAATCCGCTAATAGAATACAAGAAAAGAACCTTGGATGACAGAAACAATATTCCAGAGTTTTTATTAACATTAAAGAAAAAAAAAATCAAACATTCTCATAATGCTATAAAAAAGGAAAATTAAAAATATATATATTAAAAGTACAAAAAAAAAAAAAAAAAAAAAAAAAAAAAAAACACCATTGATTACCCCAGAATTTTTTGAAGATGCATACATCTGAATTTCAACTGCTATGAAAATTCAATAATTAAATCTAACAGACTTTCATATACTAAATGATCATAGATGTTGTGCATTTTCAGAAGAAAAACAAATTATTATAATAATTTTATGATTAAAAAATTAACAGTTATCATTGCCTCAAGAACATATTTATTCCAATCTTATTTAGTAACATATAAGTTTTATTAAAGTTGATAAAATCATTAAATATAAAAAATGAAAATTTTTAAAATTTTCTTTCTGCTTTTAACATTAAGCATATTATCTTTCCATATCTTCATAAAATTTCAGTTAGAACTAATTTTTTAAATCTAACACATACTTTATTTTCTTTTTATATAAAAAAAGTATTTCATTCATAAAAATGCACATTCTGACTTAAACCGGATATAAAAATATAAACACTTATAATATTTTTAAGGTAAATGCACAGTTCAAAATATTCTGCTTTTAAAAAGGCTTAATATGTTTAAATTTTTAAATTCTCATAGATTTGGTACATTAATAATGCATTTACCTTAACCTCAAATATTTAAATAGCTTTCAATCTTAAGCTTTTTTACACTCCTCAATGTCCACTGTTATTGAACAGATTTCCCAAATATTTGGACAGCCATTCTCAAAAAGACTGTGATAACCTAACCACTGAGTAGCCTAACCTTATAGAAAAAGAAATACAAGAAAAGAACACATACCAAAGAATGTTCATCTCTTTCAGTGCACCATTCAGATTCCACATAATGAATCTGATAAGTTGTTCATGAAAGCTCTGTTTCATGGAACTTTTAAGACACTTGTAATGTGTGAATAAGTTTATTCATTTACTCAGATATTTAATGCAGTTTAGCTCACAGTTTTTTGAAAAATAAAGGCAATCAAATTATGATTAAGCAATTTTAATACTTTTTTTTAATTGGAAATATTAATAGTCTTATTTATATATTATTAAAAAACTGCAGAAGTTACAAAACCATAAAATACAGTTTTACAGTACCTACATACCACTTCACACTTTTATTAAAAATTTCCTTTTCTTCCAAACTTTATAACTCTTTTTATTTTCTTGTATGAAGTAAAAGAAGTATTGCAATCAAGAAAAATTTCAAATTTCAGATTTCGATAGAAATATCCATTTTGACCACTCCCAAATCCATTTTAATTAGTTCCATTATGACATCCAAATGTATGTATGTCACATAACTCAAAAATGGTTTATAAAATATTGAAATTTTGCATTTGAAACAGTTTTGGCATGATGTCTGTACATACGTAAGTATATATGTGTCTACATATATATCTTGCATAAATAACCATAGCTCAAAAATGATTAGCTGCAGAATGTTGAAACTGTGTACATCCGTACTTCCACTTTAATTGATTGCTGTAACATCAAGCTATGAAGCTTTCTTTTTTGTTACAATCAGCAGTGACAAAAGGGCATTCTGAATTAGAAGATCATATCTAACTTTCAAATAAAATACACTTAAATGAAATGCAGCAAAAAATGTGCATAATTTAATAGGTATATAAACCGTGACATCCACATCAGATTTTTAAAATTTTTTTTATTCATTTATGTTTTTATTTATTTATTTACTTATTAATTATTATTGTTATTACAATTATTATTTCTCATCATTATTCTCCCTTGTTTTTGATACAATACACATATATAATTTAATGAATAGTTCAACTATCTTCAATCTCCATTCCTTTTGTTAATTATATTCCAGATATTTACGGTTTCTTATACTAATTTTCCTAAAATTTTGATCGAAGTATTTTATTTACTGAATCTACTGAAATTAAAAACTATAATCTGGGATTTTGCTTTCACCTATATTTTCCAGCAACTTTGATATTTCCAACACATTAGATACACATAAATGTTATATATATTTCGGAAAACAATTCAGATCATTCTGAAAGCAATTTTTTTCCAACTAAAGAGTGCTACTGACTGGTTAATAATTTATGATCTCGTACATAAAATTTTAGGATATTTTATAAATTTCAATTAAAGACAATATTTCATAACATTCTAGATAAAATAATTCATTACATTCTAGATAAACTGGACTTTTTTTAATTAATTTTTTCATATAAATTTATAGTGTAAGTTATTTTATATTATATAACTTTCAGTTTTATGACTACCTTATCTAGTCACGAGACTTTTTGTCACTTAGTGCATATTAGCTTTAAGATATCTTACTTTATTAATTTTCTTAACAATGTAAATATTATCTTAATGAATTTAAGTTAACCGCTTCCCTTACAAATGTTTTTGAAAAAATTGCAAAAAATCATCACATTTTTTTATTTTATTATTAAATACAAAAAAACGAAACAAATCAAAATATGTAGGTTTTAAGTTGACTTTTTAATTTTTTGAAGGTGTAAAAGCATTTATTTTTAATATTAGTTTACTATCCCGAGTTATCTCGGGCAAACGGAAAAAAGTTAAATATTAATCTTTGTATGATAGTTTTTGAAACAAGGGACAACACAGAGTGATGCCCGACATTCTACACTGGTATCTGGTCTCTTTTCTTACTGGCTTACCGCTGGAATCTCTTTCACGGGAGCACAGAGTACACCGTCTTGTTGGATTTGATTTTTTTTCCCCACCTCTTCATAATTATTATCTGAAAAATCATCGCTTTTGCTATCTTGCATCATCGCCATTATTTTATTTTTTTCAATGCATGCATCCTTCTTTATACATAACTAATCCACAAGCCAACGTATACATTACAATAGGGAAACATGTGACCAGTTCCTCCAAAAGAATCGTGCAACCAACAAAATTTGGCAAATTGCTAATCAAAGCTGAATATTTCCTTTCATTTCCTCCAGACCGAATAAAACCGTAATAAAAAGAAATCGTACTAACAAATTCTGCTTCACTCAAGTTTTCTCGGGATAATAATTAACTGCAATATATACGAACCCGAAATAACTCGGGATAATCAGGCAAGCGGTTAATGAAAATAGACTAAAATAAGCAATTATACAAATTTAGTGAAAAATGTTGTCTAAATACAGATCTTCATGTCTAAATGCAGAACCAAAAACATGTGCCA